TTTCGCGCGTGTTCCGTCGTGTTCGCTCCAAGTGTTTGGGTGAAGCGCCTTCACCCCACCCCGATTGGATGGCAGCAACTGGTGGAAGTACCGTTTCGGGGTATGTGTCAACATGGGAAACCCCGAACGTGGAGGTTTTCCTCTTGATAACCTTTCGCCTCAAGCAAGGATCATGAGTTCTAAGTGGCTGTGGATTTTGATAGGGAACCTCAAAAGTGGCTGGTGGACATGAATCCCCACCTAGTTGATTTCCACCAAAGAATGCCCCAAATAAGATCAGCATCCACGTGAGTTCCCTCGAAGTGTGGTGGGGGTTGCGACTTGACGTTTGGCAGCGCCGGAGCCCCTGTGATTCCAATCGACCCGAGGTTTCGATCACAGAAGCGAGTCTGTTTCTTAGACCCCCCCCAAAAAACAAGGGTGGTTGGTTTAAGTTTGGCTTCCCTTGAAAAAAAGGGGTACCCTCAAAACCAGAAGTTCAAACTTGCCCGCCTTGATACCAGGCTTTTCGGACAGGCTGGCTGCAAGGTCACCTTTCTAGTGCACTGGCCTGATGGAGGCAGAGCCTCTGGCTCTTTTGGGTGTGATAACTTGGTGGCTCCCAGCCATCCGGTTCCTTAGGTTTTTGGGTTTTTAGGGCTTAGCGGGGATTTCCATTTGACCCGCTAAAAGCTCAACTTTTAGGAGGGGATCTGAGGGCAGCCGAGAGAATTACCATCTTAGGTGCTACGTGATCCCTCTTCCTTTCGCACTTGAAGGGACGTGGCCTCACGGACCGTTCGGACGATTTCGAGTGCTTCGCCAGCTTTAGTTGAAACGCATCCACGGGTTCTGAGGTTCACCTGGGCGTACGACTTCTTCACCGACTCCAACGTCTCCGGCGTGAAGGGCTGGGCCGGCACTCTGCGGAAGGGGGAGCTGCTCTACATGCCGGGGGACCGCCACGATTCGTTGGAAGCTCCCCCCCTTTGTTCTTGGTGGCTCCCATCCATCTCCTTAGCCTTTAGGTTTTTTGGGCTTAGTGGGGGCAACCCACCAAAAGTGAGCTTTTAGCAGGAGATCTTTGGTTGCCTTAAAAGGGAGTATTTGCCCAGGGCCGGCTGAAGGGGCCGGGCGCGCTATCTGCACTTGAAAGTCGTTGAGCTCAATTTACAGCACTTTGGAAGGGATATCTTAAAAGAAAGCACAGATTTGTGTGGTTTTGAGACAAGCTACGTATGTTGGACCACATCTCAGCCTCAAAGGAGCTGACTCCTTTGACGCGGAAAATTGCCTGACCTTGAGAGATTCTATGTCCAGAGTACATTTGGAGTGTCATTCTTCTGCTCCTTTGGCTGAACAAAAGGACACGTGGATCGTTTCAGGAAAGCAACGAGAGTTTTATTTTGGGGACAGCTTTTGGCTGCCCAACGCTTCCAGCAATTCTCAGGTTTGCACATCTAGCCATGGCCATTGAAGAAGCCAAGAGGCAGGGATGCTTGAAATCCACGTTGAACAGGGAGATAAAGAACCCCAAGTGCCCTCAACACCAGTAGACATCCCCATTTCTGCAGTTTTCTGCAGTTGACCACCATGGGTTAGACAGATTCCCGTTTCTGCTAGTTGACCTGCGCGCAAAGAAAAACAAAACTCCGCGGCAGGAGATGCTGCACCACATCCGCAACTCCTGCAGGCCCGAGTTGCAGCGTGTGAGTCATAGTCATGTCTCCAAAGCCGACTCGGGTAAGCGAGGAATAAGGGACACTCCCAGCCGCAAATAGGTGCGGATTTGCCCTCTTGACTTTTTACACGGTTATGGGTGGACCCCTGTACTTGGGGTTGGAGACCCGGATGTTGGACAACCATCAAAAGGTTTCTCATTAAGGAAACCATGACCATCCATAGCACGAGGTTTGACTGTGGCACATGCGTAAGCTTGCATTTGCGTGTTCCTCTTTCTGGTGTCAATCTACTCGGTTTTTCAGTCCTCCGCTTCAGATTGATTCTTTTTCCAAGACGACGTGGGACATTGAGCGAGCCCCTTGGTTTTTGAGGACATAGTGAGTTCCTCATGTCCCCCACCTGGACCATAGACTGCCAGTGATGTTGACCAAACCTCATACCATGCTGCCAGAAAGCAAGGGGCCTGGCATTGACCATTCCTTCCATGTCGTTTGCATCGAGTTGATGTCTGCACATGGTCATTGCCCTTCATTTATTCAAGTATTTGATTGCCGTTGTAGACAATTGCCCTTGGAGCACAAACCCTTGTTGGCGTAGGATATCAAGAGACACCTCAGTGCTTGGATTGGTTAGAACCCCATGTGTATCGCTTTAGCTTCGGTAAAACTATCCAGTTTATGGTCAGAACCAGTTTATCGTCAGAACCCACCTGGGTTCCTTGAATTTCCCCCATTCGGGCCCAGGTAACGTCAATTTCTTTTTGTTGGTTGATGTTGAAAGGTGAAATACGTCTGAGGGGAACTCACTTTGGTTTGGGCGCAGGCACTACGTCGGATGATTTTTTTCCCCAACGACTGAAAACCTTTGAGATCTCTGCCCAAATAAGCTCTGGCTCCGATACCGGCTGGGCTTATTTTCAGCAGGTTGACCTGAGGCTGAATTTACTCCCCAGATGAACTCGAGCCATAGGGGACACTCCTTTGAGGGAATCCCACCTTTTTTGGGCATGTGGATTGGGTTGCGTTTCTTCCTCGGCCCCCAAAAAATCGGTGGGTCCCCTGTCCTTTTGGTTTGAAGCAAAGCACCGCGCCTGAAAGTTTGCTGGGGGCACCTGGAAGATCCATGCGGTGCCAACGGAGGATGAGCCTGGCCCCCAAGATGACCGAAGGCTTGTCTTTGAACCGGGGATCAGGAGATTGTTGTAGAGGAAGCCACCTGTTGGATGGGTTTTTTGAAGGGGTTCCTTCCATAGGTCTCATTCCCCACCCTAGGTCCCCCAGCAGTGCCCTTCTCTCCCCTTGTTTTGGTTGGGAGGGTTCCCCCTACTGAAATAGACCACAGAAAAAAGTCGGTACTCTTCTTCTAACCTCTCTACCGGAGGACCGATTTTTCGCACCGCTCGCCAGCGGCTGCGAGGCAGTCCCTGGCCATTTGCCGGCGGCCCTGGCGGGCTTCCGTGGCGAGGGACGTGGCCTTGGAGCACCTTGGACTTCCATTTGGTTAAGGTTTTGTTTCTTCTTTTTCCCCCTGTTGGTTTTAAAGGGAATCTGTCACTACTGGAAATATGTTTGTTTTCCAGGGGATTGAAGCAAATGGAAGTGGAGAAAACGTTTAGAGCTTCGGACGGTAAGGTAGTCAGGTGCCATGTTACTGGACGGGAGGGCAATACTTTAGGTGTTTTTGGGGTGCAGTGCTTCGGAGGAACAGACTTGGGGACCCACCGCCGAGTGCTTTATTGATGCTTGTTGCACGAAGGGCTCTTTGAGTTTCCTTGGAGCGTTTAGAAAGTACCTAAACAGGGGCTTTCCTTCTTGGCAGCTGCTGCTAAATGGCAGAAGAAACTCCTCCAACAGTTAAACAGAAACGCCTTGGAGGTCTGGGGCATGGCCAATGTTTACCCTGAAATAAGGATGTACAGTGGCAAAGCTCCCCCCCAAATTGTTCCGGATTCTGTGAACTGGCACGCTCCCCCAATCAATATCAACCAGGGGTTCATTTTGTCCAGCGAAGTAGCTAAGTATATTTTGTCTCGAGAACTGAGGGTTGCTGTTCTCTTTGTGTACTCATTTTTATTCATTTTTATTTGGGTGACCCTAAATGATTTCTGCAAAGGGTCTCCATTTGTGTGCGAACAACACATGATTATCCTGTGCAAGCTTTCGGGAATTTGTAAATTAGAACCAGTTGAACGGGACCACTGATCTGTGGTTGTGCTTTCCTTTCAATGATCCAAAAAGGGAGCCCCTAATTCGAGACAAGCCCACTTGTACTTGGCGGACATGTACTATTGTACTCTCTTTGTACTCATGTGTAGTGATGTAATTAGTTCCATAGTTCATTGCAGACTTTTACCAGTTTGACACTTTTTGCCTTCTTGGTTTTCCATCACTGGTCATGACCTCGTTCCGAATTCATGCAAGGAGGTTTCCGTTCTTCCCTGTTGAAGCAGCAAAAAAGCGAGCGCTTTTCTTGCTGGTGCGAATATGCAGGGAAAGAGAAGTGGAACGACCCCGAGAAAAATCATCCAACTGGTGGTTTCCTTATTCTGGAATCCCCAAAATCGGTTCATTCCCTTATTCCCTACTAAGCACCCCTATAAACCTTCCTTCTGGTTTCCTTTCGGGAGTCTCCAAGACGGTTCATCCCATTTCCGATTTCCCTACCGATCTCGCACCTTTGCAAGATAGATAGCCACCTGTTTTGTTTAAACCTAGGTTTTACCATGAGGCTGCGGGTTTTCCCGGGTTCCCCAGGTTTCCCGTGTTCGGGGATCCGTTGGAGTCCGCTGAAACCCGCTGCTCGTTGGTGGCGGTTTCCTGAGGACGCTGAAGTCCTTGCGCCTGGCCCACGAGGACGAGCACAGCGTGGAGGAGGCCGTGGCGGCGCTGAAAGCGCGGCGCCGGAGGTGACAAAAAGGAGGCGAGTGCGCCGGCGGCGGAGCGAGAACGAGGATTTCGGGGGGTAGAAGGAGCGGAAAAAGAGAGAGAAAAAAAACAACGGCCATGGTGAGGCTTTTTGGTGGTTTTTTGGGGGGAGCCGATTCTTCTATATCAGGCCAGCCATCCGGTTCCTTAGCTTTGTAGCCTTTTAGTGTTTAGTGCTAGTTGCCATTTAACCCACCAAAAGTTAGTCACGCCACCGGGTCGAAAACTTCCCGGTTCGCCCAATGTTAACCCCGGATTAATAAACCCCTGGTTGATTAATAGAGGGGTGTCCCCTTTTAGTGGGGATTCAGACCACTTTTGGAGGGAACACCCTCGTAACAATGGGACGGGTTTATTCATCCTGGGTAAACATCAATCGCTGAATTTCGCTAATCGCCGACGCCCACGGCTGAGGCAAAGGCTTCTATACCGAGGAGCTGCCTCTGCCCGGGGTCTCAAACTGGCGAGCTGTCCGGAGAGAAAAGCAGCCCGAAGCCCAAAGTCTTCGGATGCGGAGATCCGTAGGATTCTTCTGGGCTGCTTCTTACAAATATTTTGATCTCACGTACGGTGGTCCAAGAGGCCGGTCCATTTGAAAAGAGACGGTTGAAGTTTCAATCATGTCTGATTGGACGCACATCGCGCTCTAATTTGTTTGCGGGGTTGGAGATTTCGGTGAAATCCAAACCCACCACTGGCCATTTCGCCACCTTCAGAACCTACCCGGCCCTGGATTTATTCTTCCACGGGTCCCTCTTCTTTGGGGGGTTCGGCCCAAACCCACCGGCCATCGTAAGCTACTCGGAAGCTACCAGGAAGGGCAGGGATCCTATTGCAGGAAGGGCAGGGATGGCCTGACTCTCTGGCAGTTTTGGCCAGGCCCCGGCCCGACTGAAGCGACTGAGTCGCTGGCACAGAACCAACGCAAGCAAGAGCAGCTTCTGGAGGTTGCACAGAGCCAACTTCATGCATGAACCTTTGGATAGGGATGTGACCTTCTGCACCCATTCTTTGGATGCCCTTCATGAGGGTGTCCTTTGCCAGTTTCAATATGGATGCCAACTCAATACTGCAAGGGAAGGGAAACCCTGTAAGCTTAGCCATGGTTTGTGGTTTGTATTTAGGGCATCCGCCGTATTTAAGAAGAATCCGCCCTTTGCCTGCGCTTGCGCCAACTTGGAGATAGGATTGAAGCGGATCAGGTTTCGAACCCGCGTCAATGGCTTTTGGCTAGCTTGGAGAGTTTTCCGGGGTTGTGCTTTTTTGAAGGGTACCTTTTTATTGTAGTTTTGAAGGGAAAGCACAAGGAAAGCCATTTTGGTGGGTTCCAAAAAACGGGACACACACACACACACACACACACGCACCCAGAAGGGTGTTTTTTGTTTGATGTGTCAGGTAAGTGGTTTGAAACCATGGCAAACTTTGCCAACGGTTTCAGGGGGGCTTACCTGACGTACCCTTCTGGAGCTTCAGGTTCCTTTTTTTCTCCTTGTTTTCTTGCTGGTTCTCAGCATGGAATGAGAAATGGAATGAACCCCGAGAAAAACCATCCAACAGGTGGTTTCCTTTCAGGGAACCCCCAAAACCGGTTGATTCGCAAACCTTGACTCATTCCCTACCCATCACATCGGCAAGAAAAAGGGCCACCAGAATGTGAGACCACCTTGGTCCCTTGGCTGGGTGGGTGGGGGGGGATTTTGTTTAAATCCCCAAAAACTTTCGGAGGTCGAAAACCAGGCCCTCGGCATATCTTCTCTCCCGTGTGGCGGATGTCGGATCGTCAGGGCCAAGCAGCTGGCGCGAAGGATTGTCAGTGATGAGGTGCCGAGGCCTCGGAGCGGGGGCTTCAGAAGAGAAGATCGCCTTCCAACGGCTTGGTGGTAGGGGGGTCCCCAGAGTTTTTTGCGCCTCCCATTTTTTTTTCTCCGGGCATCCCAGAGTCTTTGAAAGCCTTTTTTTTTTGGTGGTTCATAGGGGGTTCCAAGAGTTTTTGTCTGGAGATGAAACCTGGTGCTTCTTGATTACATGGGCGTGAGTCATCAAATGGGTTCAACGTGTTCCCATTGGTTGCCCTATGAAGCAACATGGTTGCCCTCAAAAAGCCGCAGGCTCCATTTTTTTTCTTCAATCGCTTCCCGATTCTTTTGTGCCAGAGGTCGACACTGGGCTTGTTTGGCTCGGCGTCAAGTCATTGGATGTGGCTGTGGCTCCAAAAACCGGTACCAAAACCTGCGGTCTGCACCCCCTGTTTAATTTTGAGCCACACCCATATGGAGTTGAAGCCTTGGTTCTTGAGGGTAAAGGGGGGAGTGCGACTTTGTGACATGGCCGGAGGTCCCTTGAATTGGTGAGTTTCCATTTCATAGGCGTCCTTTTGAAATAGATGGGTTCCACTGGTTTCGATTGGTTTTGTTTCATTTGCCAGGGAAACCCATCTCTTTTTCCAAAAGGTCACTTACCACCGTACCACCCAACTACCCCAAACAAACATGGGGCATACACACTATGTTTCTTCGGTTTTCTTGTTTCTTGCCAAGCACGAGAGATCCATTTTGAGAAGCACCTCTGCGGAAGTCTCCTTTGCCGGCGCCTTCTCCTTGAGATCCCGAACCCCGAATCCAAGAAAGTTGAATGGCTGCAAGTTTCTGGGGCAACATGTCCGATGTTCACTCCCAAAGCTCAACAACGGATCATCAGATGATGGTTTCTTCATTTATAGGTTTTTGTTTTCGATCTGTTTCCAAGTGGGACAACAACAAGACACGCAGCAAATCAAGACACGCATTTTTTGCGGACACCCGAGGAAGTTCCAGGGCACCGAACCATTGGGACAAATCGGTTTTGCAGATGGGTCCTCAGTTGGTACTTGAAGAGAAACCAACAAGAAATCAGCCATAAATAAACACTTCCTGAGTTCCGTTTCGGACTTTAGTCACTTGTTGGGCTTAGACCATGTTGATGTTAGTGGTAAATGAAAGTTTGGTTCCTTTTCCTGACCAATCCACTCAGGAAGGTCTCGTATTTTTTTGAGCACCCTCTTTCTTGCGGGTGTTTTGGTTGGGAAGAGGCGCACCTCCCCCCCCAATTTGCCAGGGCCGAATTTTTGTCTTGGGAAGGCACACCTCCCCCGGAAATTTTTTAGGGCCGAATTTTTGTGGAGCCAAATTTCCACAAAGCCCAGGCTGAGCGAAACGAAAAAAATCGAGTCGCCTCCGAGGCAGGAGCTGGACTCCGACGGGGCCTTCTTCAGGCGGGGGCGGTTTCCCGTTGCAAAGCCGCGGGGTGGACCCCGCTGTGAGGCGCGAGCGAATTGGAGTCGCCAAAAAAAAACCGGACGGGTGGGAAGCTTTGAAAGTTCGAAGATGAATGGGAGAATTCATTCGCCACCCGTTTTTGACTCTGTTTTAGTGGGTATTGGATTGGAATGTTCACTGGGGGTGCGATTTGGATTTTGACCCATGGCCATTGGGGTCACCATCAAAGCCCAGACGGGTAGTAAGTGAAAGTTCGAACATATTGGGTGCGGAAATGCGCCTTGGTTGCAGCAGAAGCGATTTGAGATTTTGGATCCTTGATAGATCTCTGAATGGTTCGGCACAAAGTCGAGTTGGTGTACATCGATCGTTTATGTATTGCTTGAGTTCTGCCCCATCAGTTCATATTGAAACATGATTTGTCGGTGGCTCTCTCTTCAGTTGGGGTTTCAAGCTGAAACGCGCTGGCTGGCCGGTTTTGGCCGCGCCGCGGGAAAACCCCCGAATGTCAGACCCTTTGGTGACTTAAAGATAAGGCTTCCGGATATCAACTGAAGATGTTTTGGACTCGGAGCCGCGTCACAACGTGTGGTGCACAATGGGTGAAGGATCCAAACCGCCAAGAATGAGGCTTCACAAGAAGAGAATGGGTGAGATCGTAGGGGTAGCCCAAAAAAAGCAGGTTTCCTTTTAGCTTCCCTTCAAGTACCACCCACTTTGAGGTGAGATCATGTTGGTTCCCTTCAAATGCCACCAAATACCCATCCCCTTTTGGCTGCCCAAATTCTAATTTTTTGGTTTCCCATTTTCTTGCTGGTAGGGTAGGCAGGGAACGAGAAATGGAATGACCCGAATATAAAGCCTCCAACTGGTGGTTTCCTTTCTTCGGGAATCAACCTGGGTTCATTCAACCACATTCCCTACCTATCGCACCGATCGCAAGACAGATCGCCACCTTTTTTTTAAAACCTAGGTGTTTCACCATGAGGCCGAGGGGTTTCCCCTGGTTTCACTCGTGTTTTTTCCCATTTCGGGAAGATCCGGGGTTCCCCTGGTTCCCCTGCTTTCTCCCGTTTGAGGGGGGCTCCGTTTTTTCCGTCTGTTTGAGGGGAGCCCAACCAAAAAGCGGCAGTCGTCGTGAGGCCCCCGGAGCAGATCCATGAGGGCCTGCTGGGCAGCGAGGGCAGCCAGAGGTGGGGGGGGTTGGGAGAAATCGGCGGTGGGGCGGTCGTGGTGGTGGTGGTGGTGGTGGTGGTGGTGGTCGTGGTGGTGGTGGTTGACGGTGAAACGGGAAGGATAGTAGGGTACTAATATTTACTACCACCACCACCACGACCAGGAAAAGGAGGAGGAGGAGGAGGAGCAGTAGGAGTAGTCGTAGTAGTAGTAGTCGTCGTCGTCGTCATCGTCGTCGTGGCGGCGGCGGCGGCGGCGGCGGTGGTGGTGGTGGTTGGGAATGGCTTGCTGGTTTGCTCAGGGATTTTTTTTAAGGGTTTTGGTTCTATGACTATGTAGTTTTTTTTTTTTTTCCCCCGATAGTTAATGAAGCTGCAAGGAATGGTTTGTCGCGGAGAACCAGGAAGGCCGACTTGTAGGGGAAAAGGGCCGTCAGGGATCAACTGAGATGCATCTCAGCTGAATTTGCCAATGGCGATTTCTCCCTGCAGTTTCTCCCTGGCTGATTTCAAGCTCCTGGCTTCGATTCAAAAAGCCTCCAGCTGCAGGTCATACGGCGCAATTGTGCAAAGCTAGGTACGACACATATACGTTTGGTTTCAGTATGGTACAACTATTCGCTTACGTACATATGCGTGTATGTATATATACATATGTGTAGATACCTTCCCCTTTCTCTCTCTCTCTCTCTCTCTCTGTCTCTCTCTCTCTCTCTCGCTCTCTCTCTCTCTCTCTCTCTCTCTCTCTCTCTCTCGCTCTCGCTTCTCGCTCCTTATGTACATATATATATATATATATATGACATATACATATATACAGACACATATGTGTGTACATGGTATCAGACTCCTGCTAGCTCTTGCGGAGGTTTGGCTTTCGCAGGTGCGCCCTGCTGGAGAGCTTCATGGACTTGAGGGAGCTGGCGCGGGGCCAAGGGGCCAAGCCGCTGCCAGCTTCCCGCTGGCGGCGTGGGTCGTCTTTCAGGGGGTGGGTTCAATGGAAAGAATCCTCAAACAAATGGTACCATTTTGATTGGTAGGTGAATTCACCACCCATTTTTGAACCTATCTTAGTGGTTGGATTGGGTCCCGTTCACTGTGCGATTTGGGTTTTGCCCCAGGGCCGCATGTTCTCTTGCCATGTTTTTGCCGTGCCCCAAAGGAGCGTAGCAGCGCAGCACCCAGGCGGAGGTCGACCGCGAGATCGTGAGGGATCCCCTGCGCACCGGGTCCAAGCGCCGGCCTCAAGTCCAGAGATCGCAGAGCAAGAGGGCCGCTTGAGTTCTACTTATTCGCTTTGGGGCTTGGGCCGTTTTTGTCAAAAGAACTCTCGTGTATGTGCCTTTCTTTGAGGGATACCCCCTTTCTGTTGGTTTTACTGACTCCTGACTGACTCCTGACTCGCTTCCATGTTTAGTCTACCCTAAAAGGAGAAGATCTGTTCGGATACACTGAAAGGGCTGCTAGTTCATTTTTTTGGGACCTCTCAACATGGCGCATCGGCTTTCCTCTTGGCTTCCCCGAAACTTGGTGGGCTCCCAGCCATCCGGTCCCTTAGCGTTTCAGCTTTGTAGAAGGGTTCAGTGGCTGGGTGTCCGAGTTCCACCCGCGAGCTCCTCACTTTTCGCCGGGTTTAGTGACTTGCTGCGAGTGGGGAATGTGGTTGAGTGAACTTCGGTGGATTCCCTGAATGAAAGGCAGCCACCCGTGTGCTTAGGGGGTGAGCCATTCCCTGAGGACCAGCTGGCCTTTCAAAGCCTCAGCTGGCTCCTTTGGGCTCAGACTCCGCTCCGCCGAGCCGAACGAGCCGCGGGTTCCGCGTTCCGCGGCGCGAGAAAGGTTTGGGGACTGACTTGCTGGAACCCAGAAAAAAAGAAGCGAAGAAAGGACACCACCAGTTGGATGAGCAGTTGGGAACCTCAGAAATTCCCGAAGAACGGAAACCCAGCGAAGGTCTTTTGTTCATATTTCACTTGCTGGTGCGATAAGTCGGGAAGGGAATGGACCCGGGGGTCTGAAAGGAAACCACCCGTTGGATGACCAGCTTCCTTCAAGTAGCTTTTTGAATGGAAGGTCCTTGTGGGACTAGTGGTTTATCTTCCATGACCATTTTATATTCAGGGAATCCCGAATACAGGAAACCACCAGTTGGATGACCAGTTTAAGGAAACCCAAATATAAGGAAACCCCAAATTTATCCCCGAATTTTCCGGACACCCAGAACAAACACAAAACAAAAACGTTCCTTCCACAACTCTCCTTTCATCGCTCGCCACGAATCCCTCGCCACGCCTCGCCACGCCTCGCGATCGCCACGCGATCGACGCGATCTCCGATCGAGGCCCGGGCTGGCGCAGCTCACTGCGGAGCTGGCGGAGCGCGGGGCGCAGCTGGCGACCTGGGCCCGGGCGCCCCAGGTCGAGGAGCCGAGCTTTGGGCTTTGGGGGGGGGGGGAAGGGGGGGGGGAAGGGGGGCACTCCGAAGCTTGGATTTTTTTTGAGGGTGCTTCATGTTTTTTTTTTTCAATTCCCGAAAGCATCGCGAAGGGTTCTTCCGTGCGGAGCCCGTGGACAAGTTACATAGAGCCAAGTTACATAGAGCCAAGTTACATAGAGCCAAGTTACATAGAGCCAAGTTACATAGAGCCAAGTACATAGAGCCAAGATACATAGAGCCAAGTTACATAGAGCCAAGTTACATAGAGCCAAGTTACATAGAGCCAAGTTACATAGAGCCAAGTTACATAGAGCCAAGTTACATAGAGCCAAGTACATAGAGCCAAGTTACATAGAGCCAAGTTACACAGAGCCAAGTGGCACAGAGCCAAGCACAGAGCCAAGTGGCACCAAGTGGCACAGAGCCAAGTGGCACAGAGCCAAGTTGGCACAGAGCCAAGTGGCACAGAGCCAAGTGGCACAGAGCCAAGTGGCACAGAGCCAAGTGCACAGAGCCAAGTGGCACAGAGCCAAGTGGCACAGAGCCAAGTGGCACAGAGCCAAGTGGCACAGAGCCAAGGTTAGGTAGAGCTTGCGTAGAGCTTCGGCGTAAGCAGCTATGTAAGTTAGTTTAGGTTTCTAAGGCGCCGGGGTGGGAGTTTGATCATCAATCGGGATTGCGACCCTCTGCGGAGATTGGCGTGGTCGATGTCCAAAAACTGAGGACTTTTTACTGTTTCTGCGGCGCGCGCGCGACCTTCTGCGGAGATCGCGCGTGTTGAAGCACTCTCGCTGTGGCGCCGTGCGAATTTGTCTTAGTCTCGGCGAACCCTCTGCGGAGATTGTGCGTGTCGAAGCGCTCTCGCTGTGGCGCCGTGCGATTTTCTTGCTCGCGAAACGGTCTTTGGAAGTTGTCTCGTGGTTTGCGCGCCTGCTTTCGCAATCCCACGGTCGCGGGTTCGATTCCCCTCTGGTCCGCGGCAGCTCCGGCTCGAAAATCGCAGCTTTTAAGTACAAACGTAGTACGCGGAGCGTGCTCCCGCACCTCCGGCTGGAAAGACGTAGTACGCGGAGGCCCCGCTGCAGCTCCGGCTGGAAAATCGCAGTCTTTAAGTACAGACGTAGTACGCGGAGCACGGCTGGAAAATCGCAACCTTTAAGTACAAACGTAGCACGCGGAGCGCCTCCGCAGCTCCAGCTGGAAATTTGTAACTTTGAAGTACATACGTAGCGCGGGTGTGTGCACAGCGCAGGCTGAGCATCTTGTGCACATAGAGCCAAGTTTCATAGAGGCAAGTTACATTGTGCCAAGTTGAGTTGCACAAAGCCAAGTTACACAGAGCCAAGTGGCACAGAGCCAAGTGGCACAGAGCCAAGTGGCACAGAGCCAAGTGGCACAGAGCCAAGTGGCACAGAGCCAAGTTGCACGGAGCCAAGTTACACAGAGCCAAGTTGCACAGATCCAAGTTACATAGAGTCAAGTTACATGGAGCCAAGTTGCACGAGCCTGCTTTGCAGAAGCTGTTGCATCGATGTAAAAAGGCGTCTCCGCGGCTGGAAAAGCACATGATGGGAAACGCTTGGGGAAAAATGCTTTCGGGCCAATCGTCCTCTAGTAACATAGTTTGATGTTTGTCATGTCTTTGGAGTTGGTGTTATTTTTGGTGAACAAAAACATAGTTTGATCAGAGGAAAACTCAGGGGTGCGCAGTTTCCGGTGAGCAGTGAGGGTTAGATAGAGCTTAACTTGCTGGTTCGATGGGCAAAACCTGACCAGACGCATCCAACCTCCAGCAAACCTTCTGCAGCAACAAGGTACACATGATTTTCCTGCGACCAATATTTGTTTTCCCGGAGTATGCCCTTGACCAGTCTTAGACCCCCTATGGGAAAGTTATGGAGAAGTAACAAGGATCAAGAGTCAGACATATTTGCCTGTGGTGTGGCAATGAAACGTGGGAGGGGTAAAGGTTCGAGGTTCAACGATTTTTGCCCCACTCCTTTGGGCATGGCATGGACCAGAACTTTTGGGGGCAGGTTGTATAACCCCCAGATTTACCAACATTTGACACCTTTTGACAGCAGTGGCAGCCGTGTTTCCTTTTGAAAGCATGTTGGCTGCCATTGCACTTCTGAGAGTGTTTCCGCGGATGTGGGATTTGGGATTTCACATCGAACGAGCAGTAGTGAGTGAGTCAATTCTCGCTGGCCGGTCTTTTGCTTGCTGGTGCTCAGCAGGGAATGAGGGATTTCTATAAACCTTTCCTTGTGGTTTCCTTTAAGGAACCCCCTAGGTTCATTCCCTCATTCCCTACTGAGCATCAGCAAGTTTGTTCCTGCCAGTGGGGGTTGCTGAGGCGTGTCTCGCTCGCTCTAGGGGCGCTTGGTCGACATGTGTTCGGTCCTTCCCAGGCGCCCACTCTCCTCGACTTCCAGATTTCCTCCCGCAGCCCGTACATGGTGCTCGAGGAGGGAGAAAACCTGCGACTGGCTTTTGGATCGGATCAAATCTTCGGCTTGGACAAAAAGGAGGCAGCATGTGGGGCCGTTTAAATTGAATGCCTTTACTCCAAAAAGCAACGTCCTGTTGTGTCGCAGGTGTTCAGGATCACATGGAACCCGCATTTTGTTGGGGTTAACAAAACAGTTCAATTTGTTAATGCTATCCCCGGATGAATAACCCCCCGGTTGATTCATTGGAAGGTGTCCGCCTTTTGGTGTGCATCCCTCACTTTTGTGGGTGATCCCACCCTATCAGAAGGAGGGATTCATTCAGGTAACCCTTAGTTGGTGCTCCTTAACCACCAAACCACCGGGCTCCAAACCAGCCAAACGAGGCAAGCTGATTTCTTCCTCCGGGCGTCCCCTTCCCTAAGTGCCATCCGGAGCCGGTGCCTTCCGCCGAGAGTCTCGGATTCGCAGGCCGGGCACACGGACACCAAGTCCAAGGCGAAGCCGAGCAGCCACAACGCCATGATGAAGCCGCGGCCCCGTTTGAGGGTTTTTTTGCTTGAGCCGAGCAAGTTTTCAAGGGGCCCGGGTCCCTCTATGTTCCGCCAATAGGCATGCAGGGTCCAAAAGCAGGCTCTTCGGCACAGGGCTTGGATTGCCCCACTCCCCCTTTCTTCTCGAGCCGTTGGATAACGGGTGCCAAATGCAAGGAAACGGCAAAGCAAACCAAACCCCCCCCCTCCCCCTCCCCTTGTTTGGTGGCTTTGAGAGGTGATTTGGCCCGCAAAGCATGCGTGCCTGTTTTTAGGGGACTCTCCAAAATGGCGCAACGGTTTTCCTTTTGGTTTTCGCTTAAAACCTGAAAAAAAGGTTACCGTTCCAAAATAAGAGGAGCCGCCCATTTGGAACCCTTAACACTTAACACCCCGCCTTTCTCTTCTGCATTGGCTCAGGTGGATCCACATCTTCCAGAGGCACCGGGTCTTGGCGTTGATCTGCCGTGCCCCCGGATCCCTAAATGGGACACGGCCCTATGACTCAACCAGTTTGTTTTCTTGGTGCGGGTTGTCCCAAACCCGAGCCGAAGCTGCCTTGGCTGACGACCCGTCACTCCTATAGCTGTTGTGGGAGCTGCGGAAGGGGCTCTTGCGCTCAAGGTCCCTTGAGCCGAGTTAGCCGAATGGATTTTTCCGCCACCAGTTCGGCAACCAACGGAATGTTCCTTTCAGCTTAACCAAGAGGCCGGGTGAGGCACCCCCTTCCCCAAGACAGATGGGAACGGGAATCCGAGGGTCGCCCTGCCAGATGCCTCAGGTTTGGGGCCTGAGTCCGGCAGCCGGGGCCTCGCGTAGCCGCGGCAGGGCTTTTGCCGGTGGGGATCTTCTTTTTTTTGAAAGCCGGTTGGGGCCTGACAATTTGAGCGACTGGTTTTTGGAACTCAAAGTGCCCAGTGAATTTTCAGGGCGTTGCTGGCGTTGCTGGTCGCTGTATGCAAAAGCAGCCACTTTCCTTTCAGTGTTCAGAGGGCTGGTCACTACGGGTTCCCTCGCATGAATGGAACATACGGGGTTCCTCCTGACCATGGTTCCTTTCGCACAAATCTTTGCCAGCGTTTGAGGCTGACCTTTGCAACACATGCAAAGCGCACGTTCGGTTTTCAGTCCACCGGACATTTTGCGTCATGGGGGCTCCAGGAATGTGTTTCCCGCTCGGGATATCTGTCGCTTTGGCAGGGCTCCTTAAAAGATACATGTTGCCCATTTGAAACATGGCTTGAACCCACCAAACTAAAGGGGTTTCCCACTATTTACAAGGCAATGTTCAGGTGTTCCAATTTTTCAACCACCAGGAATTGGACCGCAGGTTTTGGTCCATGTTTCCACTTGCCGATCTGGCAAGCCATTTTGTCCAATTTTGGGCCTTCTTGGGGCGTTTGGGGCGAGGCCTGGAGCTGCGGCCCCTGGCGGAGGATGCGGGCACGCACCGGCTCCAGCTCAGGTGCCCGCGGCTTCGTTCTCGTATTTGGGTATGGGTCAAATCCCACCTAAACCCACCTAAACCCACCTAAACCAACAAAAACCCATCTATTTCTAACCCAGCAAAATGACACCTGGCTTTGGGTCACAAATAGGGTAACCCCAAAATGGGCTGCCCTGGCTACATGGAAGCGGGTTAATTTTGACCCACACCCAAATGAAACCACCAGGAATTGGACCGCAGGTTTGAATGTCCTTGGTTCCATGTAGCCAGGGCAAGCCATTTTGGGGTTACCCTATTTTTGACCCACAGCCATTTCTCAGTGGTGGCCTCTTTAAGTAGGTGGGGTTTTTCTGACCCGGGTCCTCCGGAGGAATCCGAAGTTTGAACATTATTTGGATGAGTCTCCGTGGGGTTTTGCCAAACCACAGTTGGGAGTCACTTGGCGCCGTTCGGTTCGTTTTTTCTGCAGTTTGGAGAGATCTGATGTTTGTTTGGGCTTTTTTGTCGGCATGTTGGTTGATTTGCTCGTTTTTCGGCTGTTTGGTTTTCTGATTTTGGTGATCTGGTGGCTTTTGGGCTCGGTGATCTGATGCCTTTCGGCTTCTTTTTCTTCCGCGTCCTGGAGTGTGGTTTCCAAGCCATAGGTAGTCCCAAACCAGGTACAAATACTCTCTTTGCAGTGGAAGTGGACAAGTGAGCGCCCAAGTCATGCGTCGGCCATTGTAGTGCTACCTGGTTTAGTTGGGTATATATAGTAAAGAACATTAAACACATTATCATGATGTTAGTAAAACATCCAACGGGCGCCACCATGTTACCAAGCGGCAGCTCGGAGTCAGCGTCTCGGGTGAAACGGGCACTGCCCAAGTGCTGTCCCATCCACTAACAAGGAACCTGATAGGAAGGGTCTTCCAGACCATCTTCCTCAAAAAGCGACCATCTTCCTTCAAAAGGGACCATCTTTCTTCAAAAAGGAGCCATTTTGCTTTGAAACCCACCATCTTCCGACCCTGGCAGGAGTCTGGAAGTGACTTTTCCACGGGTTCCGCGTAAGCGGACGGGAGGGCACCTTCTTCCCAAAACCGCGGATCGATTTTCTACTTGACTGCTGTTGGGTTGGATTTTCAGACTTCAACTTTTTGGGAAAACAAGTTGTGTCTTCCACTAAGCCCCACGAAAAGTTAAAGCCGTTGTTGCTCAAGACCCACAAAAAGTTACAACAACTTTTTGCAGAGGGGTCAACTAACTTTTCGGGAAATCAAGTTGGGTTTTCCACTAAATCCACAAAAAGTTACAACAACTTTTTGCAGAGGGGTCGTTGCAGCAGCCGAGCATTTGCTTATAAGCATATGTCTTATTTTCCCCTGTTGGTCTTAAAGGGAATCGATCACTACAACAACTTTTTGCAGAGGGGATCTATCACTACTGGAAATCTATCAACAGCAGCCCAGTCCAAACACGAGAACGAGACTTTGCGCGCGCGCCAGGCCGGGAGCCATGGTGCTGCTGCGCGCGGATTGCCTCACGCACCGCTTCACCTCCCGAGGCGCCGAAGGGGTTAGGCTGCGTGGTCCGAGTCGGATCGTTTTTTTTTTTTTTTTTTTTTTTTTTTTTTTTTTTTTTTTTTTTTTTTTTTTTTTTTTTTTTTTTTTTTTTTAAATATATATTTATATCACTAAATAAATAAATAAATAAATAAATAAATAAATAAATAAATAAATAAATAAATAAATATATAAATCAATCATGTTGGTCCATTTTTAGTTCTGGCCACCCAAAAAGGTGAGCCGTTTATTTCCAGGCAGTTATGGGCAAGTGAGAAGTGATTCGATTCCCCTGCCAAGACCAAACGTTTTGGTTGCAACCATGGTTTGAATTGTTGCGAAATGGATTGTGTCCATCCACAGTGGCGTTTGTGGTAAGCCTTCACAAATCTGTTGGGATCTTGGGGCTGGATTTGTTCCTCTTTGGTTTCCCTTTAAAGCAACCCTGCGTCTAGTCTGTTCCTTCTGTTGATTCCCTGGACATGACGGGTACCTGCCATTTCGGTTTGGCAGACGCACCTCCATTCTTTCCACAGGCAGAATCGAAAGGGGGGCGGGGGTGAGATGCAACCCGAAGCAGGGTCACGGGTAGAGAAGATGGTCTTGGGGGTTCTTTTGCACGTTTTACATATGTTTTCGGGAGCGTACTTCGGGCATCAACTGAATAACAAGTGCTGTGGTGAAAAGGCCCACTGGGGTTGGTAGGAATGGTTGATCCTCAAATTCGAGAATGATAAGGGTTGCAGGCAACAGTAGTGGTCCATCCTCCCTCCAGACTTCAGACAAGGCAATGAAAGCTTGAGAATCCCGCGAACGAGTTCCGTTTGAAGGGAGCCATGAGCAGAGTGAGACCACGTGGCTCAGGGAAGTGCTTCTTGCTCGCCAACTTCCTGCTGGGGTGCGGGAGCTCGAGCGTCTCGAGTGCCGGCTGACTCGCGACATCTGGGTTGGGTTTCTCCAAATAGTCCTCCTAAAATGGCACTGTTCAAAGACCAGCCGATGGATGGATGGATGGATGGATGGATGAATGGATGGATGGATGAATGGATGGATGGATGGATGGATGGATGGATTGATGGATGGATGGATGGATGGATGGGACGGATGGGTGGATGGGTGGATGCGTGAGAAGCTCCCATGCCGGCACAAGACGGGCAGGAGGTTGTCCTCACTGAGGCCGAACCCTCAGCGGAGTGCCGGGGGCTGAGAGGGCCATGCGTCGCATTTCTTTTTTTTCGAGGGCGAGGCGGGGTCTTTGAGCCAGCCCCATTATTTTGCCACTATCCCCTAGAAACAGTCACATAATGACGCAACCCCTCAAATGGGTGGCTTCCCTTTTGTTCCCCCTGAACGCAACCTCAAAGGCGGGTCTAGAAGATATTGCTTAAAACTTTCTAAACCGTTCGGGCATTGGGAAAAGTTTGAACTTTTATATTCAGTGATTGGGAATAGACAGCAGAGGAAGGTTGGTTCAGCAGAGGCTCGCCAATGAGTTGTGGGCTGCCGCTCTCATTCTTTTCATTTGGGGAATGCGAAGGTTGTAACTCTGTTGCGAATGAGAAGGTTTTAACTCTCTCTCTCTCTATATATATATATATGCTACCCCCCCCCCCCCCGAGGTACCCAGGTTTGGGCTTGGTTCAGATGTGCTTTGACCGCGGAAGCAGGCAGGAAGAAAAGCTCAGATTTGCACACTGGGAGACCAGAGGAAGGAGGTTTGCCTCATTGAAGAAAGACGCCTTGGACGTTACCCATGCCCTTTTTCAATGGCTCTTCCACACAAAATTCAATTCACATATCTTCCAACACAAACCATGCCTTCTTTCAAAGGCTCTTCCACAGATAACTCACATATCTTCCCGCCCAAACCATGCCTTGTTTCATTCAAAAACTCTTCCACAGAAAGTTCACACATCCTCTCACCCAACACATGTCTTTTTACATGTCTTCTTTCAATGAAACAAAGGCAGCATATGTGAAAGAGTTGCCAAGGAAAGTGAAACCAGGCTATGGCTGGGACAGTTTGTGTTACATACATGGTGGTTTTACATGATATTACTGTCTTTTGCTGTACTTTTATGAATCACTGTAACCCTGACTCTTCCACAAAGACCCACAGATCATCTCGCACAACAACATGTCTTTTTCAATGACTTTTCTCTACAGAAAATTCACATATCCTCTCACCCAGAACATGTCTTCTTTCAAAAAGGTTCACATATCCTCTCACAAAAACATGCCATTTTTCAAAAGCGCTTCCACAGCAAATTCACATATCTTCCCACACAAACCCCTTCTTTCAAAGACCCTTCCACAGAATATTCACACATCATCTCACACAAAGCATGTCTTTTCAATAACTCTTCTCTACAGAAAATTCATTCATTCATCCTCTCACCCAAAACATGTCTTTTTGCATGCCTTCTTTCACAAAGGTTCACATATCCTCTCACCAAAAAACATCCCTTTTTCAAAGGCTCTTCCACAGAAATTCACATATCTACCCACACAAACCATGCCTTCTTTCAAAGACTCTTCCACAGAGAAACTCCACACATCCTCTCACCCAACACATGTCTTTTTACATGTCTTCTTTCAATGAAACAAAGTCAGCATATGTGAAAGAGTTGCCAAGAAAAGGAAACCCTGTGTAGAATAAAGCCAGGCTATGGCTGGGACAGTTTTTGTTTCATTTTACATGATATTTACTGTCTTTTGCTGTACTTTTATGAATCACTGTAACCCTGACTCTTCCACAAAGACCCACATATCATCTCACACAAAACATGTCTTTTTCAATAACTCTTCTCTACAGAAAATTCGCATATCCTCTCACCCAGAACATGTCTTCCTTCACAAACGTTCACATATCCTCTCACAAAAACATGCCATTTTTTCAAAGGCTCTTCCACAGCAAAACCACATCTCTTCCCACACAAACCCCTTCTTTCAAAGACCCTTCCACAGAATATTCACACATCATCTCACACAAAGCATGTCTTTTCAATAACCTTTCTCTACAGACAATTCTTTCATCCTCTCACCCAAAACATGTCTTTTTGCATGCCTTCTTTCACAAGGAATCACATATCCTCTGACCAAACCCATGCCCTTTTTTAATGGCTCTTCCACACAAAATTCAGTTCACATATCCGCTCACACAAACCATGCCTTCTTTCAGAGGCTCTTCCACAGATAATTCACATATCTTCCCACACAAACCATGCCTTGTTTGAAAGACTCTTCCACAGAAAGTTCACACATCCTCTCACCCAACACATGTCTTTTTACATGTCTTCTTTCAATGAAACAAAGGCAGCATATGTGAAAGAGTTGCCAAGGAAAGTGAGCCCTGAGTAGAATAAAACCAGGCTATGGCTGGGACAGTTTGTGTTACATAAGTGGTGGTTTTACATGATGTTTACTGTCTTTTGCTGTACTTCTATGAATCACTGTAACCCTGACTCTTCCACAAAGACTCACATATCATCTCACACAAAACATGTCTTTTTCAATAACTCTTTTCTACAGAAGCTTCACATATCCTCTCACCCAGAACATGCCTTCTTTCACAAAGGTTTACATATCCTCTCATGCTCCGCAAATGTTGCGCAACATTTGGAATTTGTTGCGCAACATTTCCCTGGACCAAAAAACCAAAAAACCAAAAAACCAAAAAAACACCAAAAAACCAAAGAATCCCAGCCATGCGGGGGGCTAGGATTGTTTTTTGTTTTGTTTGTTTTTGGTTTTTTGTTTTTTGGTTTGTTGGTCCAAAAAATGGCCTTGCAGAAAATGCATGAGTTCAATCAAAATACACTGTAAATATCAATGGTTTTGATACATGATGCAACGACACCTGGGTACTGGGGGGGGGGGGTACCATATATATATATATATCGCCCATTTTTGCTAAACATCACCTCTCTTTGCCCATGAGTTTTCGTTTTTTTTTGGGGTTTGTGTCTGGACACCTTGTTTCCCTGGCCCCAACCACCTGCCGCTACTGGCTCTCGGAGCCCTTAAGCGCGGGATTCGTGAAGGTGAAGCGAAGGCAAGGGGTCAATCCCTGCGGAGATCCGCCCGTTAGGTTGATTAGCCTTTGAAGTCTTTGCTACTTCACCATGCATTTTTTCTTGAATGAAGAGTGGCCCTCTTTAATGCCAGGTTCTTGAGTTTGACTTTGGGGATGAAGCTCACCTAATGGATGGCCGAGTTGCTCCGAATTCAAGCAACAAGCAAGAAACCCAAAAGAAGTTCCAACCTGGTTGAGTATGCGGGAATGCCCGCAAGAGAGGCAAACCGTGTTTGACCTTTTTCCGGTCGGGTGGTCTCATCACATATTTGCAAGTAGGGAGCAAGCTGAAAACTCTGCAACAAAAAGATCAGTTTGTGGCTGGTTACTCGGAATGGAAACAATTGGCCCTGACCGGCCTGGCACTTGGACCAACCTAGACAAATGCTCAACCCCCTGAAACTAGTCGCCAGGCCGCAACGGCTCCCCTTGCCAGTTTACCTCCTACCAAGATATCATCTGAGCCAAGAGGAAAACCGAAGCCATGTTGGGGGGTCCCCCTTTTAAAAAGACACACCCACGTGAACCCTGGATAAACAAAGCCACCCTTCCATTCCTGTTTTCTTCTGCGTGGGACTGCTCCTTGAAGGGACGCACACCCCCAGAAGAACACAACCCTAAAGCAAGAGCCCAAACCCTAAAGCACAAAACCCCCAGAAACAAGAAGCCACTCGACAAACCCAAACAGTAAAAGCACAGAAATAACAGAGAGCACAAGCATCAAAACAAACACCCACACACAACAGAGAAATGAAAGAGACAACACACACACACATCAAAACAACAAACAAATAACAAACAAGACAAGACAGCCCGCGTTGAACCACGGAGCCAAAAGGCTTTTTGAGCCCCCCAAAAACCAAAGCCCTCCAGACTCCACGTCCGGCCGTCAGTGGAGCGGAGCGAGTCTGAGGCGCAGCTGGCTGCGCAGCTGCAAGACGAGATGGGCCGAGAGCTTCTGAAGCTCAAGGAAGCGAACGGAGAAAAAACGAAAATCCCCCGCGGAAAACGCGCTCGGCGCGGCTTGGCTCTTTTTTTTATCCCGCATTTTTTTGGTTTCAATGAATAGGTTTTTTGCCCCCCCCCCGGTTTAAACGAATAGTTTTTTTCTTCATTTTGTTTTTCCAGGATTGAATGAAGAGGTGATTGTGGTTGGTCCGGGTTTAAGTTTGATGGGTCACTTTGCTTTTTTTGGCCCTTTGGTTGCTACAGCCCAATTTTTATACTTTCATTGCTCGGGTTCGCTTCAGCGCGTAGGCTGTTGTGTCAGCCCTCGCGTAGGCTTTTCGCGTAGGCGTTGTAGAACAAATCATGACTCAGTGCTGTTTGCCATGTAAAAAGGAATTTGCTTCTTTTGCCTTCCTTCTGTTTGTTCTGCAGTCTTCGCGTAGGCTTCGCGTAGGCTTTCAAGGCATTTTGGGTACATAGACCTTTTCTAGCGGCCAGATCCTTGGACAGATGTGGGATTCTCATTTGTATATACAGCATTTCTGATCTTAGAGCCGGAGCTGCCAAAACTGCACTTGTACTGAAAAGTTGCAATTTTCCAGCTGGAGCTGCCGCACTTCGACATTTGAACTCAACATTTGCCCGCGTAGGCATCCGCGTAGGCACCTGGAAGCTGCCTTGTGCTTGCGTAGGCACCCTCGCAGGCCGCGTAGGCCTGCGTAGGCGTGCAAGTAGTGTATAGGCCCCGAACCACAAAAAACAACACCAGTGGTGCCCCTTTTTTCCTGTCTTTTGGGAAGGTTCCCTTTAAACTCAACCAACCAAATAAAGGATGCCGCTTTTTTCCCCTGGCCACTGGGCATCTGAGTATTAGAATCCGGGCGCTGCAATTTCCGCAGGATCAGAGTCCAGAGGAAGGGCTAGTTCTAGTGGCTGCAGGTGAAAAAGCATGGTACCCTCCCACTTACATGAGGTTCGGGCAAAACATCCATGGCCTCATTTGGGGAGGGAGGGGGACTCACCAAATTGTCCCCATGTCGCATAGGGGTAAGAAGCCAGTTGCCAGTTGCCAGTTGCCAGTTGCCAGGGGCTGGGCCTTTTTTCCGGCCAACGAAGCAAGCAACCAACACGACCACTGAAGGAGAACGGTCCAGCAGCACCCAGCCAGAAGCTCATGGGAGGATTGGTTAGTGCTTGGGGAACTTGTTTCGGGTTCAAATAAACGGGCTCCATCTCGCACCAAAGGACAATCGTGTTTGTAGCATCCTAGAATCCATTTGCGAGACCCGATCTGACCATGATTCTTGGCAGGGAGCCCCCCTTCAAAAGTGGTTGGTGGACAGATGGGTGGACCAACCATCGCAACCTAAATGACGGGTGGACCCAACAAAAATCCCAAGCAGCCATGCTGTCCACTCGGCCCCGGCCATGGCTCGTTTTTTGGGCCACCCGGCCGTAGCTTTTTTCGGCCGCCAGGAAGCCTCCAAGAGTGAGGAGGACTTTGAGAATCAGACCAGCAGGGCGGCCGTGGCCCGAGCGGGCCGATGGGGATGCGGGGGGTGATTTCGCGGGCGGGTGGTGACTGGGTGTTGGATTCACCCACTTAAGTTGTTGGTAAGCTAGGTTAGGGTGGATAGATGGTGGGGTGGGTGGATGGGTGGGTGGATGGGTGGGTGGAAACCCACAAAGCCCCCCCAAGTGGGGTGACCTTTGCTATTGGGGGTGGACCCTAACTATCTAACCATTTACTTAACTTGGAGGAACAACCTAAGTGTAAGACTCTAGTGCCGCTTGGACCCGTTCAACTTGTTCTGGTCAACGGGGCCGGATACTGCATCATCTGAAAGGAACCCTTTTGTTAGAGCCCATTCGACGGGTCGGCCACCCAATTTGATCCTGGGATCTCTATGGTCCTGGATTCTAGGGGAAGTTAGGAAAATGGAATGGGGGGATACACGCAGCTCCATAGAGGTTATTAGTTTTATTGCGTGCGGGCGAAGTCCCATGGACAGGGTAGTAAGGGTCCCCCCCAAGGAAGAAATGGGTGTGTCCTTTTTATAGGGTACCCCCTTCCTTTTGGCTTCCCTTTAAAACACTAACAAACAAACTGGGTACCCAAAAAAAGGCACACCCCAAACTGGGGATCTGGCATTTGAGTATTCTCAGCCATGGATCTCAGGGCTTCATGCGCAAGTTTTTTGCGGATTCCGATCGTTCTGAGATCCAGCGCATCGCCAACCAGTCCGGGCGCCTGGGAACATGTTTTGCGTTTTTCGCCCGGTCCCCATCTGGGTGTGTTTTTGGATGGCACCCTTTATTTGGTTGTTTGGTTAAGGGAAATCACCAGAAAAGCGCCGATTGTATGGGTCCCTCAATGTTGAGACAGTCCCATTTGGGGACAAGGGATCTTTTGGGAAGAGCAAGATCCCAGGGACTATCGCGTGAAGGCCTTGGGCTTGCGGGTTGTCTTCGGTCTTCGGCTGGCTTCGGCCTGGTTGCTTGCGGATGGGACATTCCAGGGCCGGCTGCCTTCACCACATGGTTCTTGCACAGCTTCGCTTTTAACGCCAGGTTGCTTCAAATGAGAAGTGCCCAAGCCCTGTCGGCCACTTCGCGTGAGCCATTTTAGAGCCAACAGTCAAGGGTTTCGGGTGCTGCTCGAATGGGTTTTAATCATTGCGATGCGCCGTTCATGCCAAACACGATTGGCGGGTTGCCTCACTCCCGGTGGAGCAGTTCTTGGACAGCTGGCCATTGAAGTTGCGGGGGTCAAGCATGCCAAACTGACGGGGTTCACTACTGTCGATTGAGATAATGTCGCAGTTGGTAGTTGGTTTGTCCCAGAATTAATTCATCCATTTGGTGCAAGATATTGTTCATCCACACTACCACGTTTTTTTCTTCTTCTTTTGATTCCGTATGCGAAAGGTGTCTAAACGGGTGACAAACGACAGCTTGTCGCGCCGGGCGAGCAAAGGGACTAGCTGACTGGCGAGTTTGTCGCACGAGGATCTGCCCCGCAATCAGAAGCCGGGTAAGGTGAAGGTCCGTATGAAGCATCAGGTCTTGGTTGCGACTCAATATTCTCAAATGGGCTGGTTGCGAGCGATTTCTTTCCGTGTCGTTGAGGCGCCGCGGCGCTGGCTGTGAGTTTTCATGGGCGGACATACCCCCCCTTTAAATAATGGACCCTCCCCCACATATTTGGCTGAACTCCCTGCCCATGTCTGTGGGGTTCTTCTCCGCTGTTCTGCTTGTATGACCCATGTGGGTTGCCCATCTGGTCTAGAGCCCCGCGGGTGGGGCTTTGGTGCCAGGGGTCCTCTCCTTGCATCCCTCGTGTTGCCTGAGGTAGGGTCCCGCAGCAATTGGTGCCCTTTCTCACCCCTTTTTAGTAGGGAGGGTCCCCTACTAAAATAGACTGCAGAACAAAGTTGGTACCCTTATTCTAACTAATCTCTACTGGAGGACCTAGGTAAGGTCCCCCGTTTTATTGTTTTTTTTCACCCCCGCACGGTGCTCCGCAAGATGTCGCCGGGCCGGACGGGCCGGACAGCCCAGGAACATCCACAAGGGTCAGCAGACGGCCGTCAGGGGCTGTGCGTCCAGGCGCATAGATAAGCTGGGCGAGAGGAGTTCCATGGTTCTACGGGAGCTTGAACACCTGCATCTGACCTGCTTTATATATTTTTTGTGCATTTGGGTGCCCAACATGACGAACGTCACCAATGTCCCCCCACCCTTGAAAACACCGCGACATCGCCTGGCACCTCTGCGCCTCCCAACATCCCAACATCATCAACAGCCCACCCCGGGCACCCCCAAACACACCCATGTCCCAACACCTCGGACACACACTCCCAAGTCACTCACACACTTTGTCCCTGACAGGGAGCCTACCGCCGCGCACGACCCAGATGCCTTCTGCTCGGCAATCATGGCAGGCCTGGGACCATAGTCTGATTCAGCGAGAATGACTGGCTCAAGTTTTTCCCGGCGGCTGGCTTTTCGACATCCGATTTTAGTTGACCGACCCATTGGGCACGGGTTTCGGACCTTTGAGTGAGGGTGGCTCGGAATCTTTGCCCGCTCCGAAAGTAAGGGGAACGGATTCAAGCCCCTGGTATGTTAACAGGGGTATGCCATGTATCCCGGAATACTTGGGGAGCCAGGCCAACAAATCCACCAGGCTTTCTGGTGCTTGGTGCTTGGTGCGCGCTTAGGCATCGACGGAGCTCAGATTGTGCCGCATCTCCGTTGGGGACCTCAGATGGTGAATATCATACAGTGGACTGTAGATGGTTTTTTTTTTCATCAGATGGGAAGTGGTTTATCCCAGAAATCAAAGGGTTTCATGCATCCCAACTGGTGCAGGATTTTGTCCATGCACAGTAAACTGTGCCTTTTGAGGGTACCCTTTTCAGGTTGGTTCAAAGGGAAACCAAAAGGAACATCATTTTGGGTCTCCTTTGACACATTTCCAAAGAGTGATGCATAGACGACTCAGAGTGGAGCGACTGCAGCCTAGTGACTAGCGACCATGAGGGGCCATGGTCCGGACCATAGCCTTGGCTTCTCTAATGAGTCTGGACCAGAGATGGCAAGTTCCAGGTTTCCAGGAAGCACAGGCGAGAGAGATCTTCGGGCCTTTGCACTCCCTGAGTTCCTGGGCGATGCCTGTTTTTGGGGGGAAGATGGTTCGAGTGGCAGACGCAAAGTTTGGGACTCTGAACCCAGGCGAGGGACTAAAAAGTGCCCAGTCGAGTCATTGAGTCATGGAGTGCAGGCTGGGACCACGAGCAGTACTACGCATCTGACCCCTTGAAGGACATGGTCGCAGGGAACGTTGTGTGGTACTCCGGAAATTGGGGGCTAGAGAGCCTTTGAGGGCTGAATGGGGGTGGTATATGGCGCACATGTCGGTACTTGGATGTTCAACCCACCCTGCTCGTGGTTCTATATCTGCCAACCCAGCTTTGTTTCACCATGGCTAGAACCTAGACTCCCAAGAACAAACCCGCTCATGGAAGACCCTTTCCTTTGACGGGGGCCCCTGTTCAGGTTCCACGTTTGTTTTTGGAAGGGTACCTGACGTTTGATGAAGATCCTGACGTATGACCTACGACGCACCGCCCGTTGCTCTACGACCTCTGAGCGCAAGTCCAATTTGTCAGGGACAACGGGCAACAGTGGCTGTGAATTTCAATCCGCCCACTTGAATTAGCGTGGTTTGGGACATGAATCCCCACCTAAATGGTGCCCACCACAGGCCCCAATTGAAATTCATGCCCAACTGGGTGCTGATATGTGCCCTACATGGCTTTGGTTGCATCCACTTTAACCTCAGGTTTTGATTGATATTCACTTCATCGCAGGATCCTATGGGCCAGTGGAAGACCCATTGCAACCACGGCTGCTTCATTGAGGGCCTTGAGCTCTTTGACAACAAGATGTTCAAGTGCGCCTGCCAGCATCGGAGTCGTGTGCAAGCCGTTCTTGTTTCTGGCGTGACGCAGGTTCGATTGACCGTTGGTCCATGGTCAATTTGGGAGTGACGCTCAAAACCCATGGGACACAGTGTACTGTGCACCCATACCCAAAAAACATAAGTCGGTCGCTTTTCCCAACAAATGAAATCATAAAAAAGCACGGACCCCTTGGAGATGTTCAACCCGCAACATGGGTCTAAAACTCAAAAGCAACCCACAAAAGGGCGGAGTTTCCACTCAAAAGCAACCAAAAGCAAACGCTTTCCTCAAAAGCAACCCAAAAAGAAGCCGAGAAATTCCCTTTGGCTTTCCTTTGAGCCAACAGAAACGCGCCCAAGGGACCGCGCCGCATGGATGTCTGCCGAGCTGAGGATCAGTCCCATGGAGGCTCAGGGCATGGATCCCAACCAGCGCCAAGCCCTGGAGGCGACTTCTTCGACGCGGCGGCCTTTTCTTCTTTTTCTTCTTCCTTCTCCCGGAGTCCTGGACTTCTTTTTTTGGTACATCGTTTAGTTTGCTCTTACTCGTTTTTGTCTGGAAGTTTTGTTTTGCCGGAATCCCGTTTTTTTCTCTCCTTATTTTCTTTTCTCTCTCCCGGAAAACATTGTTTAGTTTGCTTTTTGACTTGTTTTTGTTTGGAATACATATGTTGGTTTTAATATGTTTTTTTGGGTGTTGTTTTTGGGACCAGCGCGCGTTGTTTTTCGCATTTTTTTCAGCCAGTTTTCAAGTTGGAATTTGTTAACCTCTTTTTTCGTCTGGGAACCAGTTTTCAAACCAAATGGGCCCGGGTTGAAAAGTCGAGGGATTTTTGGCTGAGCCAAGATCAGAAGGAGAGATTTTTGGGTGTACCCTGGACCGGGTAGGGTTGGGCATGACTTTGGGGATCCGCCAGTTTCCCGTGGAACCATTGGAAGGTTAGTTTCGAGGTCACTTTAATGGACCCAGTTCACTCTTCCCCCCTTCCTTCCAGTTTTCTGTTTTGGGAGGCGAGGGCGGTTTGTTTTTCCCCTTTTCCCCGGCATGCGAAGGGTTCTTCTTCTTAAAAGGGCTGCAGACCTCACCTACCAAAATCTCCGGCCAACTTTTCGAGTGTTACTTCACTATCCTACAAACATAAGCAAAGTTTTCTTTTCCGCCTTCTCTTCTCGAGTCTTAGTCCTTCTTCTTGATCTGCGGAGGGCAGGCCCGACGGGAGCCATCGAAACGCACCCCTCTGGGGAGATCAAGCGCTCTTGCTGTGCGACGCGCGAATGTGTAAGAGGCTCTGGCTCAAACATCGTGATTTTTTTAAGGTACGAAAGTTGCAAGCCAACAAAGCATTTCCTGCTATGGCTTGCAAGTTGCAATTTTCAAGAACAAGCGTAAAAAAGAAAACGTAGGTCAGGTACAAACTTCGTGACATGCGCAGTTCTTTCGCACGGTCATCGGCAGGCGCGGCGCTTCTGCAAGGCCAGGTGTAGATTAGGTGGCGTGCAGGTCAGGCGCAGATTTCGTGGTAGGCGCAGCGCTTTCGCAAGGTCAGGTGCAGTGTGCGACAGCTTGTCTTTTTTGGGCTTGACCGGATTTGCCAGCGCACGCAAAAGTCCGTTGCGCCGCGGTGCCATTACATGGGTCGTAGCTTCCGGGCCGCCCATCGTGTAGTTTGCTTAAGACTATTGGTTGCCATTCGGTTTCCCGAGGCAATGGACCATGGACTGGCAAACCTCATGTGCGATGGGCAAGTTTGAGCCCTCCAACTGCTCCGTTCGCTGGTTGACTCATGGAGTATCCAAAGCCGGCAAAGCAGCTGCTGGCACATTGATGGCCAACTCAAATTCGCACGCTCTTTTGTCCCTCCGGCCATTGGAGAGGGGAACGGCAAGCGCATGCTGTCAGACCGCACGCCCCTGGGTCGCTCTATCCATCTGTCCATCCATCCGTCCATCCGTCCGTTTGTCCGTCCGTCAGTCCATCCAGCCATTCATTCATCCATCCATCCATCCTTCCGTCCTTCCTTCCTTCCTTGCTTCCCTCCCTCCTTTCTTCCTTCCTTCCTTTCTTTCTTCCTTCCTTCTTTGGTTCTTTCGTCCTTTCGTCCACGCCATGCGCCAGGTGTTTTACGAGACGACCATGAGCGCCGGCATAGATGACAAGAAACTTATGAGGCGCGATATGGGGTACAAGCATGAGGTCTGCAAAAGGTCCCACTGGACCGAAAGAACCCCGCAGAGTCACTATGCCGAACCCTTGAACACCATGGTTTCGGGGCTCCAGGCCACTCTGCAAGGGATGCTCAGTTTTTCCAGAACACCCAGATATGTCCCATTGAAGCCATACACCCATGGCGGGTTTTCTCGGGCCTTTCTCGTAAGGCCTTGCCGAGCGGCGTCTGCTCGTACCACGGTTGTCAGGTCAGTGGTGTTCCCCAGTTCAGCCGCCATTCTGCGGGGGAACTGTTTAAGTGAATTCACAACATGCAATACGGACCGTAGATTCTTAAACATGGTGTTTCTTTTTTGTATCTTTCCACAGCAGCCAAAAGTAAGCCAACCAAACGGAAACCAACCCGGAGCTTTTCGCAGCAACCTGAAGGGACGAAGCCCCAAACGATGCCTACCAAAAAGGTCCCTCTTCCTTTTGGCATGGGAAGAGGAAGCCAAAGGGAAGACGCTCACCAAAAAAAGGGGTTTCCTTCCTTTTGGCCTGAGGAAGCAAACAAGAAGCCGTTTGCTCCCCAACTCTCGGGTCCAACTTTTGCGGCGCCGCAGCGATTTCGGGCCCAGGTCCAACATCGGGGTCTTCATGGGCGGCACCGGCGGCGTGGTCTCGGAGTTCGGCCAGGTGCCGAAGGCCCCGGGCACCGCAGGGGAAATTTGGTGGACCGGACCTGGTGGAGACGTCCGTCTCCGGCGTGGGGGAGTTTTTCTCCGAGCTAAAATACCATCACCCACAAAGACACTCGGCAAGTACTTTTGGACAGCGAAAGGTGGGCATGGTTCAAAACCAATGGTACCATTTTGGGATAGGCGCGCCACCAATTTTAGTCTATGTTAGTGGGGGCTGGGATGTTCCCTACAGGTACGGGGTTTGACCCATGGCTATGTGATGTCTAATGCCAAAAGGGGGGAACAATGGGCACCCAGGGCACGCTGTGTGGGGCCGGAGTCTTTTCTTTGTTTGATCTGGTGTGCAAGGGAAACTTAACAGGAAATCACCGGCTTTAAGGTTTGGCTGAGATGGGCTGCATTCACGAGTTGGCGAATGTTGAAACCGATCCCACAACTGTGGTGTCAAAGATTGGGCGTACATTTGGCAGCGTCTCGGCTGCCAGACTTAACACTTACCTTTTGCCTTTTTGGAAACCCTTTTGAGTTGCCTTCACTCTCATTTGCAGGTCCCGGTCGGGCCAACTCCGGCGGAGCGAAAAGCAAGTCTGTTTGATGCGAGCGGTGGGATCAGTTTTTCTTTTCCAATGCAGGACGACGTGGGTGGGGCGCTGGGTTCCACCAGCGGCTCTGCTGCCATCATGGCCAACCGCATCTCCTTCTGCATGGGCCGGGCGGCCCAGAGGCAGCGAGCGGGTTGAAGGGGACCCCTCCCCCAAACCAAAATGCCTGGTCTTCTTTCACTTTCCCTGTGGTTGGGTCAAGAGTACTGGTAGTCTATGGTTCCAAAAAGCTTGGTCTTCCTTCTTTCACTTTCCCTGTGGTTGGGTCAAAAGTACTGGTAGTCTATGGTTCAAAAATGCTTGGTCTTCCTTCTTTCACTTTCCCTGTGGTTGGGTCAAAAGTACTGGTAGTCTATGGTTCAAAAATGCTTGGTCTTCCTTCTTTCACTTTCCCTGTGGTTGGGTCAAGAGTACTGGTAGTCTATGGTTCAAAAATGCTTGGTCTTCCTTCTTTCACTTTCCCTGTGGTTGGGTCAAGAGTACTGGTAGTCTATGGTTCAAAAATGCTTGGTCTTCCTTCTTTCACTTTCTCTGTGGTTGGGTCAACAGTACTGGTCCTCCTTCTTTAATTTCCCTGTGGTTGGGTCAAAAGTACTGGTAGTCTATGGCTCAAAATGCTTGGTCTTCCTTCTTTCACTTTCCCTGTGGTTGGGTCAAAAGTACTGGTAGTCTATGGTTCAAAAATGCTTGGTCTTCCTTCTTTCACTTTCCCTGTAGTTGGGTCAAAAGTACTGGTAGTCTATGGTTCAAAAATGCTTGGTCTTCCTTCTTTCACTTTCTCTGTGGTTGGGTCAAAAGTAGGCGGGACGAGCTCTAAATTCCAACCAGAGAAACAAGAAAGCAGACAAACACTTTCTGCGGCTTATGTGGGCTTGACACAACCCGGACCCGCGATGCGCCGATCGAAGGTTGAATGAGAAGCCCTCCGGTCAGAAGATTGGGGGCAGAGTGCATGGAATTGGCCGGAATTGGGATTATACTTTCAAAGGTTTTTTTTGTTGCACACTGGGATTATACTTTCAAAGGGAAGCTACCTCATTGGCTTTTCTCCTCCCAGTGCTTCCAGGCAAGCCACTGTAGTAGGTAGCCAAGAATCCAACCACGTCTAGGTTATTTCCGTTTTACCATGCATGGTTTCCCCTGGTTACCAGTTTGTGTCTTGCCTAGCACTGGGCTAGATGGAATTTAGTGGGTGTCAGGGGTTTTAGCCCTTTTTCGCCCCGAGCCGAGTGAGGCATTCACGGCCCGAACTTCTTCATCGACTTGGAAGGTGCATCCGAGTCGACGGCATCCAATGGAATGATTGAATCAGAGGTGGGACAAATCGGTAGCTGGATGTTTTTCTCATTCGGAGATGTCAGTTTGAATCGAGCATCGGCATCCAATAGTTTTTTTTCTTGCCCATTTTCTCATTCGGATATTTTAAATGCACGGGTCCACTCGAATATGCTTTAGGTGCTGCCTCCTTGACGGCTTTCAACCTGGCAGTGGACTCCGTGCAGCGTGACAAGGCGGGGCCGACCCAAGAAAGCCAAAAATCGTTGGCGAACCTCTCTTTGGTGTCCATAAGGCTGTGGTCCATTTTGGTCGGTCTCGTTTTGGGAAACCCGGTTTCGGTTGGTCTTAAATGGACACCAAACGGGAAGCCACCATTTTGGGGCGTCCCCCCGAAGAAAAGAGACACACCCGTTTGTTGAAACCAACTTTGCAGCTTTGTGGGCATGGAGGACATGCTTCTGGAAAATGAGCCCTCCGCTTTGGAATGAGAACAGGAAGCGGCGGAAGTCAGCAGAGTCTTCCCGCATTCCGCGCATCGCGAAGTCCGGCCGCTTGAGGCGCAGTGCATCGCAGCGGTGGCCTTGGGCGTGGATTGCAACGTGCACCCGCAAGGTCTTCTGCTGCGCCCTCGGGGGAAAGGAGGGCCTGCAGCGCTCTGATCGATGTTGGCCTCAAAGGGGAGGCCCGTTTTGGATGGCTTGGGGACATCAAAAGCAACCAACCTGAAGGGGTGGCAAGAATTTGAGAGACACCCCGGGGCTTTTTCTCCTCGGCTCGGTATTTTTGGGGGTTTCAAGGGACACAAGGACACTTCTGAGGGGTCGTAATTTGATTGACACACCGTTACATCTGGGTGGGTTTAAACGGCCTGCAGGCAAAGGTCGACCCAATCTTTCAGCTTGGCAGAGTTCCCTTGCTTGGACATATGGGTGGCTCATCTTTTTTAAGGTTCCCCTCAAAATGGCGCAACCAAAGGGCACCCTCCAACAAAAACCATCCCATGGGGAATCCAGTTGGAGTTTGAAGCTTGAGTGGTACTGCTTCGCCTTCCGCAACCGGCGCCCGGGGTTGCTGATGTCCGCAGCCCGGGGAACCTTTTGGAGTTTCCAGATCAACGATTCTGGGGCCACCTGTCCCCGAAGAAATCCTCCGCCAGCAATCGGCCATGGGATCAAGGCTAAACCTCTGCACTTTCACGTGCAGGGAGCCATGTAGGGGTGGTCAAACTAATTCGGGGGCTTTGTTAATCCGCTGTGGATGTGGTCTATCCCCAGTATTCATGTGCCAGGCTTACGAATCCGAGGTGGCAGAGCCTGTTTCTGGTTGGGAATCAAAAGGACCACCGAAGTCATTTCGGGTTGTAGCCATGGCAAGTAGCTCACCAAAGCCACGGTTATAAGTCCCCTTTGCGTAGTTAAGGATCATTGATGCACACATGATAGTGAATGACACTTATTTTGCTTGTGTGTGACAGAGAGAGGGAGTTTAGTTGGTCTTGTGCCAAGGTATTTTTTGCCCATGTTTACAACCATTTACCCTTCCACCAACTAACATCGGAACCTGACCTTCGGAGAATGGTCCCTTTAAAAGGACAGCAGTCCAAACCAGGACCCCCCTTTAACGTCAGGTTCCACGAGCAAGTTGGTGGGAGAGTACTTGACTACCAAGTGGATGGCCCCACCTTGGTGGCTCGGGAGCCATCCAGTTCATAGTTGGTCTAGTTGAGTGGTCGCGTTTCGTGGCGAATTTCACACACCAAAAGTGAAGCTCCCCCCAGTTCTACGGATCTCACGTTGACCCCATATGGTAGTGGGTCAAAAATGGGTACCCAAAATGGAACCCTGGTCAATGGAAACATGGACTAAAACCTGCGGTCCGGGGGTTTGATTTTGACCCATACCCATATTAATCAGCTCAGAACCCCCAAACCGCGCTTTGAGGCCGTTGGGCTGGGCGGGGCTCTTGTCGAAGAAGGGCCGCTGCTTGAGCTTCGACAGCTATGCCGATGGCTACATCCGAGGCTTGTGGGGGGGGGGGGGGGGTTGTATATATATATATATGGTACGCCCCCCCCCCCCCCCCCGGTGCCCAGGTGTTGCTTGATTTTGAGTCATTTTTTTCAGGTAACTTGGCTTTTTTTTGGGCCAAACTCGGGCACCAAGGAAGGGGCGTGTGTCACAATTCTACAATTCAGAATTCTGGACCCAAGATTGCTGGGAGACGTTCAATGTGACAATCTTTTCTGGAATTCTGGAATACTGAATCTTGCTCTTTTTAAAACTTGGATTCAACATTCAAGATTTCAAAATAATCGTTTTCTGCGAATCTTGAATCTTGAATCTCATTAAAAGCAAAATAAATAAATAAATAATCTGGGATTCAATATTTCAATATAATATATTTTTGGGAATCTTGAATCTTGAATCCCATAAATGTTTAAATCTTTTTCAAAATTCCAGGTTTGTCCCAATACTCTCGGTGTTCATTAGCTTTTCTCGGAAAAGCTTTCCGTGAAATATTTCAATCTCGAATCTTCAATCCAGTGGTAAAATACGTTCGAAGTTTTAGAACAACTTGATCATTTTTTTTGGGTTTGACCAGGATGGATGATTCTCAGGAAAGTTGTTGTCTGTGCAATCCTCGATCTTGAATCCTCAATCCAGTGGTAAAGCACTTTCAAGTGTGAGAAGAACTTGAATGTTGTTTGGGTTTGGCCAGGATTGACAATTCTCAGGAAAGTGTTCTGTGTAATCTTCAATCTCGATTTTTTCCATCCAGTGGTAAAGTACTTTCAAGTGCTTAGCGATCCAGTGGAAACACTTTCAAGTTATTAGTTAGACAAACTTTCAAGTGCTTTTGGTGAGCGGTTTGCTTCATGTTAGCTATGAAGCATGTTGACCCCTTTCCAGGAGGTAAACAAAGGTAGGCGTAATGCTCAAAAACACTGTATTTTACAGTATGTTTTGAAGAGGCGCAGGATCATTAGGGGTACTATATATGTGTGTATGTATGTGTATATATATATATATATATATATATACATATACATATGTATGTTCACACGCCGTCACCCCCCCCTCTTGAACTACCCCTCCACATTTTCTCATCTACTACCTCCGCCTTTTGAGATAGAATGAATTTTGTTTTCCTGTGCAAATATAACTTTAAATACAACTGATTCAGCTAGAATCCCTGTTTCGAAATAGTTTCAGAAATTGAATCTCTCTTCCCTTGAAATTTCCTTTTGGAACACCGTCTAACAAGTTGAATTTCGGACCTTTCTTATGCTGCAAAAGGGCCAGGATATGAATAACTCAAGTCGTATGTCGAATTTCCTTGTAGAAGTCCCTTAAATGTTTAGCCATATTCGATATGAGGAAAAATGAGAAGTAGTCTCTATTTAATTGTTATTATGAAAAGCTAATTGAGTTGTGTTCGTTTTAGATTATATCTAACACTTAGATTATATTTGGGAATACACTCCTAACTTCTTTTGTTGAAGATTAGTTGGAGTTTGCCCGGAACTATACTTATATTCTCATGTAGCTCCTATTTGGAAAGGATTTGCTTATATAAGCTGTAGTTGAGAGCAATGTTGAGCATAAACACATTTTCAAAAACTATATCCGAACCAAATTCTATTCACAAATTGAAGTAAACTCCTATTTGGAAAGGGTATCATATTGGGACATTTCGGATTTCGGATCTTGCCATGATGGACTGCAAGCCCATTCGTTTGTGCTTAAAATCTATAGCAAACAATCTAAACTCTACAGCCTGCGCGCTGAAATCAAGCAAAACCTAGGCACCAGAGAATGCGTAGCACACATATATATATATATATATATACACACACATCATTTACAATTCGTTTTAGGGTTGGTTTAAAGGGCAAGCAAAATTCATACTACCATATTTTGGGGGCTCCCCCACTGGCTCTGAATCGGAAAAGGTGTGTCGGCGTGTCTTGTTTTGAGTGCACCATTCTTGGGGGGGTGGTAGACACACCCATTTGAATATCAGGTTTTGATTGTGACTCATGTCAACCGGATTGAACCGGACGACCGTACTGCTTTGGATAATGACATTTGTTTTGAAGATCGGATGAGTATGGTCCTCGAGATGGGTCGGAGATCAACATGATTGTTCCTTGCCGGTTAATGTCGCTAGATACTCGGGGGATGCTCCCTTGGTAGGGTACGGAGAGGACGGTGACGTGTAGTCAGTTGGCACAGCTTGGATAGGCGTATCAAGAATTGGGGTTCAAATGGGTCAGACAGGATTTGTACACGTACAGAAAAGTTGAATGGCTACAGGACTTAAGTTTCGAGTTGTCTATGAAAGGTGCTTCTTTTGATGGCCTTCCGAGCGATTCCAGTTCGATCTTTTTTTGAGGGTACCCGTGTTTTAAGGGGTTTTAAAGGGGCACCAAACGGAAAACCACCCCAAACAAAGAGAGACCCCCAAGGATTGGGTCGAAGTCTGCCACGACAATGGACGCCTAGGCGAAGGCTACACCGGACTCTATGTGAGCCCTTTGATGAAGGAGGAGAACGGCAAGAAGATGATCGACGAGGCATCCTTTTGGGAACTTCTCGGGACTGATGGTGGTATATGCTTTGTCCTTCTGGCTTCCCTAACCCAGGGAACCCCCCTCCACAACGCGGCGATTTGCTGAGATCCTTTAAGCCCGCTTTCACGGAGTAGTTCCAATGAAACCGCAGGGTTTGGCTTCTTTTGTCCGGAGTGCGCGATGGAATGTTCAAGCCCTCCGTCGTTGCTGACCCAAGCGTTTCCGAATTCCTTTTGGACGAGATCGCAATCGTTGAAATGGTTCCAACACAAATTGGCGTGGTGCACCTCATGATTTGGAGCTAAGCCAAGGGTACCATTGCAACCGAATGGAGAGACTCTTAGGACTATTGGGGGCCATTCATGCCTATTGGAGTGTGCGTGTGCTTCCATTTGGGTTTGTCTCACAGAAAACAGTGGCTGGATTCCCTCTGGTTTCCTATCAACCCAACCAAACGTGGGTAAGCATTGGTGAGGCATTGACTTGTTTGTCTTCATGTTTTGGGTTGCACAGAGGCAGCCTTCCTTTTGAAACCAAATGGGGAAGGCACCAAACTTCCAAGCCGCCGGTCACCAATTCGGAAAAAAGGAGAGGGTGACTTCCTGGGTTGGGAAGCTTTTTTGTTTGTTCTCGAAGCCTGTCAATGCGGGCCCATACCCAATGTTCGCCCATGCGAATTCGGGGTGTGTTGAGGGTCCCCATGCGGTGAAAAAGGGAAGCCACAGTGTCAACCCAGCCTTGGGTCTCCCAAGGTTTCAAAACAAACACACATACTTATGCGGACACACATCTGGACACGCATGGTCCTGGGAGAAAGGGTTTGGTAGTTCTAGCTTCATTCTTTTTTTTCTTACCATGATCAACGTGGGTTAAAGGGAAACAACCAATTCCATTTTCTGACTTTGATCACCCCCAGAAACCGTCAAAGTAATGACCCCAGTACTTATGTGGACACACATCTGGACATGTCGTCCTGGGAGAAAGGCTTTGGTATTTCTTCCAATTTTCGAAACAAACACATATACTTATGTGGACACACACGAGATGCCCTGGGAGAAAGGGCTTGGAATTGTTCGGATTGCTTGAGGATCCGCCCATCATCGCCCTGGCCAGCGGGACCTTCATCAACAACAACGGGCGCAGCGCCTCGCTGACCGCCCCCTCCGGCGCCATGTACCAGGAGAGAGAGACGACCAACGGCCGTGCGAGAGACGTGGATGTTCGCATCTGGCGGGTCAAAATATATGGGTATATATATATATATTATATACAGGAAATGGGTACATATAGGAAATCCACTGGGCATCGAGTGGACATCATTTAGGGGTTTCACGTACCAAGCAACTTGGGGGTTTCATGTGTATGGGTCAAAAGTAAACCAGGAGTTGGACCGCAGGTTTGGATGTGGGTTCCATTTGCCGATCGGGCAAGCCATTTTGGGCCCCCTGTTTTTGACCCACCGCCATCTGAGGAACTATCAACACCTGGGTAGATGAAGGTTAGTAAGGGGTAGTCCCAGCCAGAAATAGGCGCGGATATCCGCCTTCTTAATTCTTGAAGCATTGGGTAGACCATTTTGATACCGGGTTTTGATTGTGACTCATCTAGACATCCGAGCGGCGGTTTGGGCCATTTTTCCACGCGTCAGTGGGTTTTGGGCGCTTCTCGCATTGGTAACCACCCAAGCAGCGTCTCCAAGGTGAAAAGGCTGCAAGTGACATGGTACTCTATTTGGCAAGCACAAAGCCACTGGGGGTGTCCTAAACTTGGGAGATTCAAGATGGAAACCAGCAGGTTGGGGGTTGGGGTTCGGTCGGAGGTGAACGGCAAATATAGGTATTTACAGTTGGATGAAGGTAGGCACAACCCCCTGTTTTTACTTTCCAACAGAATGGGAATGCCATTTTGTTTGTATTTGGCAAGGTATACCTGGTTGATCAACCAAGAAACAAAGGTTCATATGGCCATGGGTCAAACCAATGCCTCCATTTTGGGGCGGATGAACACCCATTTGCCACCTATTTTGATGTTCACCAGGGCAACAGGGTTTTGACCCACAGCCATATCAGGGTTCGATACCAGCAGGAAACCTGCAGAACCCCCCCCCCCCTCCCCCCGAACCCCACCCCGAAGATTCGGGAGGAGCTGGTGGCCAACTGCGTGCGCAGTGCGGACCTCTCCCCGCTGGACGTGGATGCGGTGGAGCGCCCCCGCTGATGTTTTCTTAAACATGGTGGGTTTGCGTCAAATTTCGAAGAAAGAGGGGCACCCCGAAAATAGAGACATCCATATTTGTTATATATTGTTAAGAGTATACATGCCCTTGGGTACATGCTTTGTCTAGCAGTACAGTTGGGCTACATCCGCTGCCCATACATCCCAAGGCCTTGAGCCTAGACAAGTCGCACAGAGGAAAACAATAGACTACAGCCGCGCTGATTCACTTCACAGGTTCTTCACATCAGGCATTCAGGTAACTTTAGAGCCTCCGGCTCAGTCCGCCGACATTGTCCTCTCCCTTTTCTCCTTCTTCCTCTCTCCCTTGTCTCCCTGGTGTGTTCTGTCGTCCTCTCTCCCTCCCTCCGCTCCCCATCCTCCCCATCCCCCCAAGCCACTCTCTCCCCAATCTCCCTCTCTCGTATGTATGTATGTATGTATGTATGTATGCATGTATGTATGTATGTATGTATGTAATGTATGTATGTATGTATGTATGTATGTATGTATGTATGTATGTATGTATGTATGTATGTATGTATGTATATGTATGTATGTATGTATGTATGTATGTATGTATGTATGTATGTATGTATGTATGTATGTATGTATGTATGTATGTATGTATGTATGTATGTATGTATGTATGTATGTATGTATGTATGTATGTATGTATGTATGTATGTATGTATGTATGTATGTATGTATGTATGTATGTATGTATGTATGTATGTATGTATGTATGTATGTATGTATGTATGTATGTATGTATGTATGTATGTATGTATGTATGTATGTATGTATGTATGTATGTATGTATGTATGTATGTATGTATGTATGTATGTATGTATGTATGTATGTATGTATGTATGTATGTATGTATGTATGTATGTATGTATGTATGTATGTATGTATGTATGTATGTATGTATGTATGTATGTATGTATGTATGTATGTATGTATGTATGTATGTATGTATGTAATGTATGTATGTATGTATGTATGTAATGTATGTATGTATGTATGTATGTATGTAATGTATGTAATGTAATGTAATGTAATGTAATGTAATGTATGTAATGTAATGTAATGTATGTATGTATGTATGTATGTAATGTATGTATGTATGTATGTATGTATGTATGTATGTATGTATGTATGTATGTATGTATGTAATGTATGTATGTATGCATGCATATGTATGTATGTAATGTAATGTAATGTAATGTAATGTAATGTAATGTAATGTAATGTATGTATGTATGTATGTATGTATGTATGTATGTATGTATGCATGCCTGCATATGTATGTATGTAATGCATGTATGCATGTATGCAATGTAATGTAATGTAATGTATGTAATGTATGTATGTATGTATGTATGTAATGTAATGTAATGTAATGTAAAGTAATGTAATGTAATGTAATGTAATGTATGTAATGTATGTATGTATGTAATGTATGTAATGTAATGTAATGTAATGTAATGTAATGTAATGTAATGTATGTATGTATGTATGTAATGTGATGTAATTAAAGTAATGTAATGTGATGTTGTGTAATGTAATGTATGTATGTATGTCTGTATGTCTGTCTGTATGTATGTCTGTATGTATGTATGTATCCTTGCACTTCCCCTTTGCTCCCCAGTATTTCCCGCAAAAAACACTGTTTTTCCAGCGTTTTCGCAAAGATGATGTCCAAAAACACAGAGTTTTTCCAGATTTTCGGCAAAAGGATGCAGGAAGCCCAAGCCAGCAAAAAAGCCGGCAGGGGGAATCGAGCCTGGGACCCCTGTTTTGCGACACCGGGTCCCCGAAGACTACGTTTAGTGGAACGTCATCAAATTGCCGCGCGGTCCTTGGGGGGGGGGGGGGGCCCCCCCCCCCCCCACGTATCAGACGTCGGTTAGGGGGGGGGGTTATCCTCTATCCTCTCTTAGGTGTCCGACACGCCGAGCAATGTCGGCGGACATTCAGTTTAACATTATTGCGGAGCAATCACCCAAAGCAACAGAGCACACTACCAATCATACAACTAGACTTTGCGTACTTGAAAGGCTTCGACGACAGCAAGGTACATCCTATACTCACAGCAATCGACATACAATCAGGCATGATGATGGCGCTACAACTTTCAGAGAAGCAACGACTCTTTGACTACGCCGTACAACAACTACAACAGTTCCTGGTGGAATGCGGCAGAACAACACATGTGATACTACAATCAGACCAAGAAGACTACTGGTCGCACTTACAAAGGCAGTGGCAAACTTCCCCGGCATACAGTTCGCAATCACAAGGAGGCGTAGAACGGGCACACCGCACACTCTTCGGACAGATACGAACACTGAGAGCACAAATGTTCCAGAACTACAACAGGACAATCGCCATGAAACACCCCGTCATGCCATGGATAGTGCGACACAGCGCCTACATCGTGAACAGATACGCCATCCACGCAAATGGATTCACAAGCTTCTACAACAGATGGCACAAAGAGCAACACACTCCACTGTGTGAATTTGGCGAAACCGTACAACACATGGTCTCGTCAATAAAACAATTCCCAAAGCTAGAACCACGCTTCTTCACAAGAATATGGCTAGGGAAGGATACCACCACAGGCGAATCCCTCATAGGGATATACAACAAGATACTGCGTGCACGAACAATACGACGACAGATCAAACCGCACAAGTACAGCCAACAACTCTTCGACGTGATCAACATGGGGCCGTGGAATACACCAGCATCGGCACTCACTACGCCAACAATGCCGACAACAACCACGCCGACAACACTGCCATTACCACAACGACAACAGCAGACAGCAAAGCAACACAAGGATGCAACCACGAGCACATCATCAGACGGCAAGCTCAATACAGGAGAACAAAAGGATGAAGGCTCGCCAAAGAAACAACAGAGAACACAGGCACCTACATCGCCGATGGCAACAGCCCCACCAACGACACAACGACCGGCGCTGCCAATGCCTACATCATCAACAAGACCACTACCGGATGAAGTCACAGAAGGCAGCACAAGCAAACAGCAGAAGACAACAGCAGGAGCACCAGTAAAGGAGAGACCCAGTACAGGAGAACAACCGCAACGCAAAATGAGGATAAATGCAATGACAGTCAACACACGGGACGGCAAGCAAGTCGAGACAACATCAAATGAGGATCCACAGGACATAGAAAATGAAAGGATACTGCTGGAACCCATACTACATGGTACAGAAGGACTGGATCCAACCAAAGTTGCAACAGGAATGAAGAAGGAGATACAACAAATGAAGGAACAAGGAGTCTACACCGAGATAGACGGCAACACACTCACGACCGAACAATGGTCCAACATCGTAGAATCCAGATGGGTACTACGACCGAAACAACAAGAGGTACGAGCACAAATGGTCGCAAAAGGGTACACTGAAAACATCAGCGACAATGACCTCATCTACGCAAGCACACCACTGTTCTGTATCCTAAGGATACTTCTTACAATGGCATTGTCGAACAACTGGTCAGTACGCACAGGAGATGTCAGCGTAGCATTTCTACATGCACCAGCAGGTACACTCAACATCATCATGAGACCACCGCCGGAGTTCTACGACGACAACAACAAACACATCATGTGAAAACTGAACAAAGCAATTTACGGCCTGAGGTCATCGCCCAAACAATGGCAAGACCACATAGTAGAAGTACTTACAGCACTTGAGTTGACAAGACTCAAAACAGACTCGAACGTTTACAGGAACAGAGCAGGAACCGCTTACATCATGGTCTACGTGGATGATCTACTGTTCATAGGAGAACAAAAGGAGATAGACATCCTGTTTGACAAGATCATGAAACATGTCTTGCTTCGACCAACAGGCAAGCTCACAACTGGCAAAACAATCACCTTCCTTGGAAGAAACGTCGCCCACAAAGGAGATCACATGGACATTAGTCTGGAAGATGACTACATCGACAACATACTGGAGGAGTCCAACATGACCAAATGCAACGCAGCACCGGCACCCGGGATTTCACATCCCAAAACAACAATAGAAGATGAGACAGCTCTTGATCAGGAACAACATTCAGCTTACAGGCGTTTGGTTGGCAAGATACAATGGCTAGCATACACAAGGCCAGACATCAGCTATGGAGCAAAGGAGTTGGCCAGGCCCCTACAAGCACCAACACAGATAGACAACAAGAAACTCAAGCACATGATACGATACCTCAAAGGTACAAGATACTGGAAACACGCTCTCAGACCGACAGCACAAATACAAGACAGGAGGATTCCAATCAACATCGACATCTACACAGATGCAAATTGGGCATCATGCGAAACAACACGCAAGAGTACAACAGGATTTGTCACACACTTCCTGGGAGCTAGCTACAGTTCACTATGGAAGCAGGACACACGCAACAATAGCCCTGTCATCAGCAGAGTCAGAGCTATACGCGATTGGTACAGCTGCACAAGAAAGCATCTACATCAGCAACTTCGTCAAAGAAGGTTTGGACACAAAGACCAACATCAGAATTCATACAGACAGCAGCTAGGCTAAATCAATAGCCATGAGAGAAGGTACATCAAAGAAAGCAAAGCACATAGAGCTACGATACCTTTTCATGCAACAACTGGTCAAGAACAAGATCATCACAATGTGCAAGATAAGGTCAGAACACAACCCCTCGGACATACTGACAAAGTTTGTCCCAACCGACACACTCCGCAGACACCTGTACAAGGTAGGCTTGCCCAGCCAACCTTGACACCAACAAGCACATCAACAACAAGAGTATCACCCACAGTCAGCACTGCACAGTTTGCGCAGTATGTTTCAACATCAGTTGCACAGGTCACGCACTTCTGTTTCACTACATGTCAGCCGGCTAAACCACTTTAGGGTAGTTACATTGCCATGGATCTACCCCCCTGCGCTTTTACTCTACTTTTGGGTACAACGATGACACTGTTTTTTGCACTACAATCTTTCGACTGCAGTTTCACTTGACAGTTTGACAAAGCTTGAATACATGTTTTATCACTGCAGCCATTTACATCGGTCTTGTACAGCTAGAGGGGGACACATTGTCAGGTCAACAATGGCTCATCGTGCATACAAGTCCATCCATCAGCCTATGGTGGTACCGGATGGCTTTAGACTGGAGCCTACAGAGGGCAACCCCGCCTACATTGCTCCCGAAGAGCCAAGCGACTACACCACCGTGCTCATTCCGCTTACAACGGAACAGGCCAAGTTCATGACAACAGTGGCAACCAAGGAGGCGCACAGAGTTGACAAGATCCCCGGCGACATGGTTTCATTGGCATGTTCTACAGCATCATGGACGCTGTGGGATACATGAGCTGGCTTATCGACAGTGGCCATGACAGTGCAGAGGACATGAGCAACTGTTACATCTACCGCGTCTCGCTACACACAGCCGAAATCCTGCAGCGTGTGTACGAGAAGAAGATTTCCATGTTCAACCGCGGCTACATCGGACTTGTGCTACAGCTACATGAACATCACACCTGGGTCATGACAGAGATTGAGAGGAACACCGGCACATTCTTTCGCATCACTGGCGACGTCAGGAATTTGTACCGAAGCTACAACCTGGAGAACGGCTACATGGTGCTACAGCACATCATCGTTAACATCGAACAGATGCTGGGTGTCGAGGACAAGTTCGACAGGAAGCATGCAGGTTTCTCCATGGCCATCAACCAGTACACCTACGCTGCGATACAGGCGGTGCCAGAGCCACTTCGTACAACTTTCACTACATCTTGGAGAACAAGCTACAGCTGTCAGGAAGCTACAATCTTGTCCCCCGGACAAGCTGGCTACAGCGATCAACGCATGCGAGAAGTGGACAGTGCTGTGATCCTTTCACAGCACAATGGCTACAAGATGATGCACAGCAAAGAAATTCAAGATGAGAACAACTGAGATGGTTGTACAAGAGGATTACAATTTTGGGCCCATGTGGCAGACCGGACTCAGCTACGAGTTTGGGGTACATGTTCCTAACCGCTCACAAGGGACTAATCTGGCGAACAGTTTCTTTTGCAGATGAGTTTTACATCATCCCGAACCACAAGGTTATGACTGTACAATAAATTTTAGAGATACAGTTGAAATACTGTACTCTAAGGAGGCGTGTTAAGAGTATACATGCCCTTGGGTACATGCTTTGTCGAGCAGCACAGTTGGGCTACATCCGCTGCCCATACATCCCAAGGCCTTGAGCCTAGACAAGTCGCACAGAGGAAAACAATAGACTACAGCCGCGCTCATTCACTTCACAGGTTCTTCACATCAGGCATTCAGGTAACATTCAGTTTAACATATATATAATATATATATATATGTATACATATATATCTATATATGACATACATATTTGATGAATCCTGTTTTGGATTGGGTGTCAACATGGGGCACCCCCCTCTGGATGGCTCTAGAGAACCCGAGAGCAAGCCAAATGCCCGGAAGGGTCGATTTTGGGAGATTCGAAAACACCGCTGGGTCAACTTGGGGTTCTCTCACGGCTAGCCTTTTTTTAACGTCGTAGTGTGCTTTTTTGGGGAACTGAAGGGACACATTGCTATGTGTATTGTTCCTGTTGCCGTGCTGTTCTTTTGGGGTTCTGAAAGGGTAGCATCTGTGCTTTGGAAGGGGCTCCTACAGGGCAGAATTATTTTTGCTGTGCTCGCTTTTGGGTTGGTAGCATTCCCACATTCGATGCTCCTAAAAGAAACATATTGCTTTCAAACATGATAGGTTGGCTTGGTAACCTTCCTACATTTTCATGTTCCTAAAAGAAAAGTATTGCTTTCCAACATGTTCCCAAGGATACTCTGGTTCTCAAACATGACAGGTGACCCATGTTCCCGGACAGCTTACCCATCTTCCCAAAGGGCAACATCCCACAACCTCTTTCGCAAGGATTGCGATCTGGATCACCGGGTGGATTGGTTTTGACCTTCCATTCACTTCTTGGAGAACAGGCTTCTGCTCCTGTGGATGGACAAAACCCACCAGTTGGTGGGTGGTTCATTCCATTTCTCCCTCCCAAGTGGTGCCGGTTTTTTGGAGCCTCGGTCACCTTCCGGAGGGATGGCGTACCTCACGAAATCGATGTCCCGCAACTACCTCTATACTTTAGATCGGAAGCCCGCCCCCCACCGTGAACGTGCTAAAAGGGAGAACACCCAAGTGACTTGAAAGGAACACCTGCATTTAACATGCCCAGGTTCATTCCCCAAGCCTTGTAGACCCAAGCGGGGCATTTCCATTGCTCGGCGCTTGCCATGACCAAACCGCCTGTCAAACCTGGCGAGAGACCTGTGCCATGGTTGTGCCTGCAAGCGCTCAAGATGTGTCACATTCTTTGCAAGGCGTCACTTGCCGGTCACGAGCCCGGATTCGGAGACGTGGGGCGATCAAACCTGAAGGGTGCTTTCTCTACCGAAGTTTCTACTTCCTCCAGGGATGTCGGAGCAATGCTGCGAGGTTCGGTGGGATACGGATTTGTCTCGCAACATCGGCACACGAAGAAAGAGCACGACACTTCCCAGGAAACAGGACCAACTCGAATTTGTCCATGTTGTTGACGTCTTCCGCATGTTGGTCCGTGTAATTCTTCCGACTTTTTTGTGTTCGCCGCGTCCTTCCCCGCGCTTTTCCTTTTCTTCCGGCCTTCCCTGAGGTAAAACCGCTGGTGGTTCTGGATGTTGGGGAGTTGAACTTCCCCTGTTTTTTTTCTTCATTGTTTTTTTTTTTTTTTTTGGGGGGGGGGGGGCGTGTTCGGGCCCCTTCCCTTCCTCGATTTTTGCCCGAGGTGCCATGCCACAGGCAACGTGCTCGCGGACGCCGTAGAGGCGCGGAGCGGAGGTTTTTGCTCATGCTGACTTTTCGCCCACTTAGCGTGGATTTCTATTGCTAGTGCGATACGGCCTGCTGATTAGCAACTGGGGGGGTATTATTTAGGGGACAACTTCATCCGGAGTTGACTGAAGCTTGGCTGTGGAAGCGCTTGTCAAGCTTTCCCACCTCCCTCTGTTGGTGCGCTTTCCTCCCCTTGAAGTGGCTGTGGGTCAAAACCAATGGTACCATTTTGGGGTAGGTGCACCACTCATTTTAGCCTGTTTTGGTGGTTGGATTGGGATGTTCACTGGGGGTGCGATTTGGGTGTTGACCCATGGCCACGTTATGTTTTGGATGGAGCACTTCCATGCGAGGTAGAGACTAGATTCGTGCCCGCTTTGTCATTGCGGACCAAAGGGAGCAGAACAAAAAACCGGCACCCGGACTTCCCGAGAACAGGCCAGACTTGCAACGAACAAAACCCAAATGGGGGTTTCTCGAGTTTGGGAACCAACAATGGCGGATTTCCCTTCAAACCCAGGAAGCAAAGTAGCCTCAAAAATGTCGCACCCATCAATTCTAGGCTTCAAACATCAGCCGCAAATAAAACCATAGCGGGCTTTGACTTTCGACTCACGTGCGGAGTGGACGTGCCAAGGGCTTGCAAGCCGAGGGTTCTTCCGGGCTTAAACATAGTGGTTTTCTTTTTGGTTTCTCTTCAGAGCCAAGGTACCCTCAGAAAGCACCAACTTTTTTTGTGGTCTTTTGGGGCCCTTTGGCCCTCATAAGCTTGAGGTTGCGGGATCCTTACATTTAAAGGATGCAGAGTTTGGCCAAGAAAACAACTGGACCCGGCCCTCAACTCGCAAAACAAAACCCTTGGGCGACAGCCAAAACAAAGCCACACCATCCACTGCCACCCGCGCGCCAACTTCGCGCGGATCCTGCGCCAAGCGCCAAAAGCGCGGATCCGCCAACTCCTTCGCGCCATGCCGGTGGGTGGGCTGCTGAGCGCGGCGGCCCTGGCCGGGGTGGGGCAGACGATATGGCAGTACAACCGGGAGAACTACATGTTCGACGTGCCCCTCCGCCAGGCGAGTGGCGAGGGCGCGCGAAAAACGGCGGAAAGAGATGGCTGTGGTGGAAAGCTGTGGTCACAACCGTGAAAAATGGGATCCCGTATTTTGGTGGGGATTGGTGAATTTCCCACCCATGTTAGAACCTATTTGAGTGGTTGGATTGGGATGTTCACTGAGGAGTGATCGGGATTTTGACCCACAGCCAGATTTAAGCAGAAGAAGGGCACACCTTGCCAGAACTGCAGAACTGGAATCGATCGGGTGACACTTTTTGGATGGAAGAAAAAGGTGGTGTTCTTTTTTTTTTGTTGGAAAAACACTTTGTTCTTTAAAGCCTTGCCCTTGTATTGAATGAACACGCAAAGATATTTAAATCCAAGGTTTAGGGCGAGTCAAGGTTCACGCAGTTTGGACCCAGAATGGAGCATAGTACAGGACGTTGCCTTTCCTTTGACATCAATACTTCCGCCACTTGGAGATGCGATGCTCCCAGGATCTCTTGAATCTAGATCCAGGGTCCGTTCGAGGCTTCCGAAGCCTTCATGGTTGGCTCACCTGCAATAGAAATGGAGTCTGCGGTAGCTACAGGCGTGTCTTGTTGAGGCTATCCTCTTTGGTTTCAGAAGGGGAAACTAAAAGAAGGCCAACATGAGGTGGATCTCTAATTTGCCACAAGGAGACATCCAGAAAGTAAACTCCCCCCCTTTGAGTGGTTGAGTGTAGGTCTCCCAGGAAACTTGACCGCCTTCACCATGCTGGTTCCCCGCGGGTTCCATGCTGTTCTCTTGCCGAGAACTGGGGTCGGGTTGGCCCCAGGGTGGTTTCAGGGCTACTTTCTGTGATAAGGGAATGAAACACGCAGCATCACAGACGGCGGGTTACACAACCATCACGGCAGGCAAGGGAATTGTCCAGCTCTAGGTAGTAATACTTAGTTTTGTGAATCAGGATGATGTTAAAACCATATCCAGCATACTGAGTTGGATACTTCCCCAGTTGTCAACCCACCACGACCTCTCTTGAGCCAAAACTCCGGCCACGAACCGACCTGAAGCGAGCGCCTCTTCCCGGCGAGGCCAGGGACTTCCAGGTGCAGAACGTGAACCTGGCCAGGTACGCCCTGTTCCGGGAGGACATCCGGGATTTGGCGTCCCTGACCACCGACAAGGTGTCCAACCTCCTGGTGGTGAACACCCTGAAGGTGGGGAAGGTTGTGAATTCGCTGGAAAACCCATGGGTCTGTTTACCTCTTTCGTTTTTTTTTTTTTTTGGTTTTTATTTTTTTGTTTTAATAATAATAATATTATTATTATTTTAACGGGAACCCATTTTTGGCCGGTCCAGGCGGGAAGTTCCGTTCCGGTTCCGAAGGTCTCGGGACAGAGTTGCGGCGGTTTTCGTTCCGATGGAGAGCGCAAACCGCAGGGGTCTGATGGCTTCTTTTTTTTGAAGGGGAACCCATCTTTGGTGGGTTCAACAGGCATCGAGGGGAACACCATTACGCCAGTGTGGGGGTTCCCTAGAACACATGTTACACGTCTCGCGGGGTTGAAGAGAAACCAGGAGCGCAACAGAAGCCTGCGTTCCAAAGGAGGTTGGCTTCTACTTCCTGGTTTCATGGTGATAAAAGGCAAGGGTCCTTTCAACCTTTTCAATGCTACTAGAACCAGTCGCTGGGTTTTGGGCACTGCTCAAATTGGTTGCTTGGTCTCCAGCCGGCTTATCCTCAAGCGAAACCTGGTAAAGTCGGGTATGATCAAGACGTGAGGTCGGCTTCATAGTTGCCTTGTACTTCAACTTTGACCGCACGGACACGGGGTACCAAGACCGGTCTCTGAACGAAGACATCCTGAGCGTCCTCTTTGGGATGACTCTGCTGACCTCCTTCTTTTTCCTGCTTCTCGACCTGAAAAAGCCTTTTCTGCGCCCGGCTTTTTGGGCATTATGTCCATTTCAAGTCCAGTCCCTATTTTGGGGGTGTCGATTTCTAGACCTCCCCTACAACGATGCTTTTCCTTTTGGTTTCCTTTTAAAACCTACCAAGAAGGGTCCTCAAAAGACACCCATTTAAGTTTACTTTTGCCTTGCTGTATTTTTTGGTTGAAATCTATTGGTTCCCTTTCGTTTTTGGCACAAACCCAAAAGGTTCATTATTTTTTCAATCAAGTATCATTTACATATGTATTGATTCCGCAACAGCTAGGCCCCCCTAAAGATTCGATGAACATCCGCCAAAAGGCACGTTTTTGGCCTTTTGGTTTCCTCTTCTCCTTGCAGTCTGTTCACATGTTTAATAGTTATGTGTATGTTCCAATATGTTTTTCCTTGTTTAAGCTTTAAACAGGTTTTCTGTCAATATGTTTAATAGTCGTGTGTCTCTTCCATTATTTTCCCCGGTTTGACCTTTGACCAGTTTCCCGGTCGGTCGCAGTTTTGTTTCTATTTCATTTCTATTTCTATTATGTTTAGTAGTTCTGTTTCTATTTCATTGTGGTTTTCTGGCTAACCTTCAACCAGGTTCAACCCGGATAGTTTATTTTCCCTGTTTAACCTTTAACCAGTTTCCCGGTCGGTCGCAGTTATAGCTTTTCGATCATAGTTATGTTTCTATTTTATTTCTATTTCTATATGTTCAGTAGTTCTGTTTCTATTTCATTATGGTTTTCTGGCTAACCTTTAACCAGGTTCAACCCGGATAGTTTATTTTCCCTGTTTAACCTTTAGCCAGTTTTTTATGCTAATATGTTTCATACTTCTGTTTTTATTCCATGGTTTTGCCCCTGTTTAACCTAGGTTCAAGCCGAAGGGGTCGCAGTTTTTCGGCCTTGTCGGATAAGGATGACCTCCATCTGGTTCGCCATGCACGCGCTGCAGCTGGCCCAGGCCATCACCACCAAGCTGCTTGTGCAGGCGCGGGCTTCTGGGGGCTCGAGGGGCGCGGGCGGTTGGCGTCACAAAAAAGCCACGTGCTTCAAAAGCCGATTCGGGTAGATGAAGGTTAAAGTTGACCCCTTTTGTTAATATTAGTGATTGCTATTGCTATTATCAGTATTACTATGATTATTAGCGGTCTGATGATGATTAACGTTATCATTGTTATGACGATGATGTTGCTTAAAATTTGAACATACTCCAAAATGTAACATCATTGTTGAGGCCCAGAACTTCCATTTGCTTAAGCCCTCATGGACAGTAAACTATTTCCAGTAGTGATCAATTCCATACTGCGGATCTCCGCCTTCTGAATTGTTGAAGCATGGTTCTGGGTAGACCATTGTACCGGGTTTTGAGTATGACTCACATGCTGTTTGTCTTCTTTTTCAGGCTTGGTACGTCTCTTCTGATGGTATTCAAGGGAAACCAATATTTTCGGGGTTCCCTAAACAAGCTGCACCCACATCAGCCTTTCTCAAAATAGTGCTTCTCAGAATAGGAGTCCCATTTGTTGGATGGTTTTCAGGACAAGGAAATCAAGCACAGGAATTGAATGGAATTGGTCCCTAATTTTGAGGGAAGACCCATAGCACTCTCCCCTGCCATCCCCAAAAGGGTACTTCAAAAAAGGACGCACCACATGAGTTTGGTCAAGACAGATGTACTGTGGATGGACGAAATCCTGCGCCACCTAAGAAACCCTGGAATGATTCGATTCCCTATAAATACCAACAAACGTTATGGGCCAACCATGGTTGCATTTCGCGGTGCGAAATAGATTGCGTCCTTCAAAAATAGTGTGTCGTGAGGGTACCATTGTGTTTGAGAGGAAACCAAAGGACCACCCACTTTGTGAGTGAACATCATGGTCGTCACACCCTTCATTTCGATAGGTGTCGATTGGACGAAAACCCACCGTTTCGGTGAAAATCAGTGGACCAGTAAAATCGGTTCAGCCGCTTTCTGTCCTTTTCATCCTTTTCCAGAATGGAACCCGGATC